TTGTGGGTTGTGCCTAGTAACTGTTAAGCATTTAATAGATGCATACTATCAACCGATATTCAACAAGTACTATGAACTGTACCGAACGCGATCAAAATTACCGTGTGCGTAACCAGAAATACTGCACACCATATTACGACCGCGAACCACTTGCATTATCGAAATTGCCTAGCCAAGCTCTAAAAAAGCCAAGATTTGCCAAATATGAATTCGAATACATGATATAATTGGCCATCGAACAGCTAATAGGCATCCCTCTTGCACATGGTTCCTATAAAGGACAGAAGCGACTGACATCCAATAAATGATAATCGGCAAATTAATACGTACACCAATTCAGATAGTTAACATTCGCCAAACATCCTCTACCTGACAATCCCTTCAAAAAACATAATCCCTTTCTTGAAAACCGATATCGTTAAATCGTGTAATCAGATTCATATGGCTGAAGACGGCATTACTGAGACGGCTATAAACAATCCGTTTGAACTCTATGAATTTTCGCTCATGCCTTTCATTTTGAGAAATAATGTTTTTGACGGAGCAAGTATGCACCATTTTGACAGGCATAATCAATAACTTACACTGAATAACAAATGAGATGCTTCTGAAGAAGGATTGTTAAGTAGATAAAATCATTGAAAATACATGGTAGTATTTTCTTGCATGTGTAACGGCGAGTTAATACTTAGGTTTGTATGTTGGTACTGTATGTTGGTACAGTGTAGAGGCAGGGAAATATCACCGAACCTTGGCCAAATCATCCGGCAGTTGTGTCACTGAATATCGAACAGATCATCAATCCCTGTCAAAGTCGAGGACAACGAACTTCCATCAGTTAATCGTGAACTATGGACTGGCGCATGCGGTGATGGTCTCGCTATCTACTCTGTTCTCATCCTTACCAATATATTTTCATAATAACTTCCTTTGTGTTACATGGTTGTAGTGACCTACTTTTATGAATAGAACACGATTGATATATGGAGAAATTATTACTAAAACCAGTTGTTTGAATGTACCTGTTTGTTTAAGTGTGTCAAAATACACTCTTCCGTTGTTTTGTGACTTTGCATGAACTCTTGTGCACTCAATAGTCTCGCTTATAAACCTTGTCACGATCTTGGTATTGTTTCGGTAACACGAGATCGTCAACAGTTATATTTTACTACAACCTTCAATTGGCTTCCGATATTCGGCCTACGGAAGGATCTAACCTAGTAAGTGGCACATAGTTTCACTGTAGTGGTGATCATAATCAACCGCGACTTCACGCCTACTCCACAGTCTTCAAAGAAACATAGTAATTTAATACGACAAAAAGTAATCCACGTTAGATGGCGACCGCGAGATGTGACTTCGGAGTTAGTTAAGATTCGTCACACCGCTCCTGCCTAGCTCGAGTAGGCCTCTAATCACTCCACAGAGATCATCAATGTTGATAGTCTACAACAGTTTTTATGACACACACACGATCTGCAGTTTGTGGAATTTGTCATCAGAAATGGACTGCCTAAAGAGGTTTCAGGGGCACACATCACGGAAGTAATAAAACTACATAAATGGGTTGGAGGCGAGACCCAACAGTGAAGGATCTTGAAGTTAATACTCGGGAATTTCGAGGGAAGAGACGTTATATTGAATAACACACACAAAACTCATGATTCAAATATTCGTATTTGACCAGATTGGCCGTTTGAGGATCGAATCAAGTGGAAGAATGCTCTCACGGAGTTAAGAACTCGAAAGCTAAATGGCGAAACGAACCTTGCGATTAAGGGTTTTTGGGTGGTCAGGTCTTGGAAGCCAATGCTCCTGAGACCTGTATGAGTAGGACATATGGTTCCCAGAACGCCTTAAATGTGTGCTACACGTATGCCCGTAGTCTTCGAAACAAAATATGTGAGCTAAATTTTCGGTGGATAAAGTAAGTCTCGATATAATTTTAGTCACATAAACTTGGCTCACCGTAGATATAGACAGTTGTCCCATCATTACAAGCTACACCTATATCAGAAATGATAGAGTTATAAGTCGCATGGGAGGATGCATAATGTTATGTGTTGAGGATAACTTTTGCATACAATCGATCATGTCGGAGGCGCATGTTAGTGGTACATGTGAGGTAGCATGTTCTACGATTAGGTCTAGAAACGTGATAGTGACTATAGGAGGAATATATCGTAGTCCGTGTTGTCTAGCTGACGACTTTATCCTAAGATACATTTGTTCTTGGAGTAAGGTAGAATGCTGTCTCATCATTTTGGAGTTCAACGCACCACATATGAACTGGGTAGAGCTCACAGCTTCAAGGGGGGTTTTCGATAGCGACCTCTATCAACAGTGATTCAGTGCGCACTTGTACAATGTATCGTAAAACCGACACATATTGACTTGGAACATAATCCGTCATTGATAGACCTTGTCCTCACACACCACTGTGAAGAGGTTGTCGACATTCAACACCTTTCCTTACTGATGAATAGTGACCACGTCGTACTTTCCTTTAAGTTCCAGAGACATGGTATAGAATTTGCATCTTCTCCACCCCGTCCTAATATCTGGAGAACTAATGTTCCAGCAATCAGATACTGTGCTATCTCGATTGGCTGGTCGGTCGATGCTGACGGATCGATCGAAGACAAGTGGAATAAGTTTAAAGCTACATTCGAGTCCGTAACACAACCGTTTATCCCATGGTCAACACGTAAGCCATCACATTACCCTCTATGTATTAATAAAGAAACACAGAACGTGTCGTAGCGTAAACAATACTTCTGGGACTTATTCAAGCTAATAGGACAGGCATCATTTAAGTGCTGAAATTTATGTAAAATGACCATGGTTAAATCCTCTACCACTTACGAATAACAGTTGGCATATGATAACCGTACTTGTCCGAAACAATTGTTTTCGTACGTTAAACGGCGAACAAAACGTAGTGATAATATTTCCCCACTACTGTTACGCGAAAATTCAGATTTACTATCTGAATTCGATCTATTGAAAGCGGAGACATTTGCAAACTATTTTAGTGAGGTCTACTCTACATGTAGTGTTATAACTATTTGTCCCATAAACAACGAGATACCAACTAGGATCTGTACACGTGACTGAGGAAATTTTTCTTCCATTGATAACTAATCTCAAACCTTGTAAGATACCGGGCCCCGATGGGTTACATTCACGTTTGCTTTCATCGCTTGCGGACATTATTTCAAGACCGCTCGCGACGCTCTTCAACATGTCCCTTTCATTTGCTCAACTAACTAGAGAGTGGAAGGACGCTATATTTAGTCCTATATTTAAGGATAGTCAGAGACGGATCGTATCCAACTACTGGCCTGTCAGCCTGGCCAACATAGTCGTTAAGTTACTTGGAAGGATAATTCTGGCTAAGCTTCTGAGTCACATAGATTCGTATAATCTGTTAACTCCCAAGCAACATGTGTTTTGAAACAAGCGTTCATACTTAACTAACTTACTTACTACGAGAGAGGATTGGACAGCAGCCCGAGATAACGGCCTGTCTGTGGACGTGATATTCATAGATTTTAGCAAAGCGTTCGATAAAGTTTCACACTTAGGTCTGATGCAGAAGCTCTCGAGCTTTGGAATAACAGGTGCTATACAGGAATGGATAGGAAGCTTCTTATGTGACCGCAGACAGATAGTGTGGGTCGATGTAACGTTATATGGATGGTAGCCTGTTAAAAGTGGTGTACCCGAAGGCACCATTTTAGGCCCTTTACTTTTCCTTCTCTATGTCAATGAATTACCTCTATTACTTAAGTCGTCGACATTGTTTGCGGATGATGTCAAAATCTGGAGAGCAATAAGAAGCGAGATTGATCGTTGTCATCTCCAAGCTGATATAAAAAAATTAATTAGATGGGCTCATGATTCGCGCTGGGATGTTAATTCCAGGAAGAACGTGCTCATGCAAATTTATGGACGAATCAATCAAATTTTGGCGCGAGATTCATCCATTCATTTGGATAAATATCATTCTGGCATTATATCTGATGTCAGTTCGTGATGAAAACAATAAACATAATTTCTAACCCTAGAGTTTAATTATAAATCTTAATCCTAGTTCCTTGCACTAATTTATAACCTTCAGTTAACCCTAGTAAGTAGATGACATTTTGAAGGTTATTTCAGCGTTGCTCAAAGGTCGTGCATAAATTGTGGTCTCACTGCTGGACCTTCACTGGAAGGCGATCTGTCAGGATTAACACAGGTTCATCAATCTTCTATCCTTATTACTAAAGATGGCTGAAGTCAAATCAATCTTGAAATTGTCTTGATTTGACCGCTTCTGGAAAACTTACAAATTTCAGAGGTGACGCACCAATCCTTTTACGCCACTTCGACCTTCAAGTGCTCAGCAGCCTTCTTCATTGGACGATGCCACTGAATTGTTGCCTGACAAAGTCTGTAAGTTTTTCGTGGTGATGAACTATGGCTCTTTGGTGCTATAAAAATGTCAATAATACATTTATAGGTAGATATTACAAGGACTAGCCATGTCATTGTGTTTAATATAAATTGTTATGTATTATTACATAAGAGCTAGATGTTCCCAATCACATTATTATGTGGAAAATTTTTATCAGTTTTGAGGAAATGCGGCAGAAACCCTCGGAATTCTCCCTGGTCAGGGGTTTTTCCTCACAATTTCAAGTTATCCGGGGGAAATCCCTAAAATATTTGGGGAAATTTCGGGTTTTTCCCAATATTTCACCAGACTGGGGAAACTACGAACTGTCATGACTGGGGAAATCCCCAAAATAAGGAGATTGGATCATACACTAGTTTGGAGTAACTTGATTTGAAAATCTGCAATATAAGTTGATAGTGCGAAAACATAGACTACTTTCGTTGATAAAAATGGGGATATTGTATTCTCAAGTTTACCCTCCTACAGTAATAGGTTTAATTTAAATTAAATCTAATTGTCAATCGGCAGTTTGGTAATTCACAAAACTAGTAGTTTCGCATGTTTTTTCTGCAGTTTAACCTATTTAGCCACTCATTTTAAGTTGTGATTATTATTCTGCTTATAGGGATTCTCTTCTTACTGACCTACGAATGTATCTTGCTGCTGTACAAAACTCTTCAGTCTCTTTTTGGTCTGTACTATATGATAAGAATGCGTTTGGACCGTCATTGTCAAATACAGACATCCGTAACTTGGAGATTCCTGATTTTCCTTCCTTGACTTACAAGCCTCAAATGACAGTGACGTGTTCGCTACGATCGATTCAGTGGGATCCACGGTCATGTAAGCTAGCTGTTATTGACCACTCTGGTTCTGCTATTTTTTTTCGACGTCTGTATGCTGGCAAAAATCTTGTGTACGATCAAAACACATCAGATATAACTACTTTCAGTTTGCTATCACATAATTTCACAGCCACTTGCATAGCTTTTCCGCAAAGATCAGGAAGATATATAGCCGTTGGAACTAGTGCTGGCCCAATAAATTTATACAAATGCCAAAAACAAATCTCGTTTCGTTCGCAGTTACGCGTCAGTAATATCAGTCCTGAAAGTTCATCTTCCAACGAAATGCAGCCTAGGTGTGTCAGCTGGATTTTAAATGACCGTGTTGTTGCTTCTGGATATAGTAATGGATCTATTGTCTTATTCTTAGCTGCGTCTAGTACGCCTACAGGTGAATGTGAGAATTTCATATTACCATTTCCCTCATATACCAATAACAGTAGTCTTTCTACGCCTGCATGTAATACTCTTAAAACTTCTAGACTAGACAATACTTTATTATGTTGTGGTTATTCTGATGGTTCTATTATTTTATGGAATTTACATTGGCCTATTATTGGGGATACACACGAGTTAATTTTGAATCACTGGGACCCTAAATCTTTTCTATCCACTTCGATAAAAATGAATAGCTGTGAATACTGCATGGATATAGCTTTTTCATCTGATCAACTACTTTTTAGTGCAGGAGCACCGGATATGAATTTACGTATGTGGAATACGTCTCCGTCTTGCTTAAAACCAATGAAGACGTTATCACCGGTTGATGAGCAACATGGATATTTAAGTGTTGATGTCGCCTCGAACACAAACATCCTTGCAACTGGCTTAGCAAATGGTAATATTTGGTTTTATAATATACTTGATTTTACTTCACCTATCCGATGTATTTCCTCAGGATCGGATGTTCCAATATGTTTGCTTTCATTCTCTTTTACTTATCAGAATAGTGACGAAGTTAGGTTTAGTTCCCCAAAATCGAATTGGCCTGAAAGTTTACAAGACGAGAATCTTGATGCGAGACCGCATGGGAATTCAACTTCCGTTCAAAGCACTGTAACAGACACACTATTGATTTCTTCAAGACAACCACTTCATGAAGTAAATAATGTTATAACTAAATGTCAGCCTGATACATGGGCATCATTATTTCGTGAGTTTTCCGTACCAGACATTTCACTGCATTCAAATTCCAGTATGTTTCCATCATCTGACCAATGTTCTGTAAAATCAAGCTGGTCAGAAGTGAATATAGATAATGTAGAGAAAACTGTGTCATTAAGACCAGAATCTAACGTAGATATTAATTTAAACAAAAATCAACAATTAAAATCAGATTATCACAGTATTAAAGATACTTTAAACATCAACTCAGTTAATGTAACAAATGAGTGGTTAGACCAATATTTCAATGTTCGACTCCGATCTATGATGTCTGAATTGAACTGGTCTCATAACGAATTATTATTTAAATTTACTAAACTAGAATGGAAAGTTGACCAAATGTGTGAAGAGTTTCGTAATGTTATTACGCAAATGAAACATGAAAATAACTTGCTTCGATTTGCGTTGAATCAACGTTCACAATTTTAAAAATACCTTAACTTTCTACTGTCCATTCTTTTGTTTAATCTTGTAATTATCCTGTATGCTTATAGGATTTCGTTTGTTAACCATATAATAATGTTGATAAGTGGGTTTATTCTTGTAGTCTTTTCATCGTACATATAATCTTAACTGGTTATAGTGTGGGCTACAAAAGTAAATGTGTTGGCTTTGGAGTTTGATACATAATGTACCAAATGGACCACATTTCGTTAATTCTCGTGTTATCAATTATTGGTTAAAAATATGGAACGGAAAGTGAATTATCGAACTCTTTATCTGTATCAGCTCTTCTTTTTACAATTACTTCATTTTCATAATAACAAATATAAGTTTCTGTAAAGCATTACTCATATCACTTTATAACAATGGACAGAGTAGGCGTCAGATTTCTCTAAAAAGAATATATTGTATCTCAGTACTTGCTGTCTTTTAAATTGTATTATTTACAGTTTAAAAGTTACTGAAGAGCTTCTATCATCATTCCTAGGCTGTACTGCTACAGTATAATCCGGAAGTAACGAAGTTTCCAATATGTGGCGGGCGTGGCTAACTATTCTTCTTCTGGTTGTTGTTCTATGTCTTCGTTTCTCTCAAATAAGCATTTGATTTCTGGATTGTGGTGAATGCACTATAAATTTGCAAATATGCAACGGAGCTGACACGTCGAGAACCTCCCACATAAAGGCCGTGCTGCTTCCCGTGGTCTCACTTGCGTATGCATAGCATTGAGCCCTAGGGCAAAACTAGCTCTGTTGGACTGGATCCCAGTAGACAATCGTCTGTGCGCTGTCCGACTAAACGGAGCAGTAAGGACTTGGAAAGATAGGGACACTCTTCGTCGTCTCTGCCTACTCTCCCACTGACTGCAGCTCAGATGACGTAAAAGATGAGTTCTACAGAAAGCTTTCCGACCTTCTCCGAAAAGCTAGGCGCTCTGATGTAGTAATAGTGGCTGGTGACTTCGATACTCAAGTAGGTAAACTAAGCGAAAGATACCTGGGTGGATCTTATGGTGTCGTGGCTCAAAGAACAGGTAATGGCGATCGTCTGTTGCAACTATGCTCAGATAACCGTCTGTTTCTTGCAAATACTAACTCTAAGCACAAAGAAAAATATCTTTTGACATGGCGACCCCCGAGTTCGTCCCAACGTTGAACCCAACTAGATCACATCGCTATCAGCCACCGATGGAGGGGCTCGATAGAAGACTGTCGCTCATTGTGAAGCACAAGTTTAGATTCAGATCATGCTGTAGTGCGAGCACGTATTGTCTGCGTCTTACTGGACATAGGAAAGACACTGCAAAGAAACCTCTTAGGGTTCTACTTAATGTCAGCCATGCTAAGAATATATTTCAGCAACAACTAAAAAAAAACAGTAGGGGAGCCACGTAAGTTGTGCGTGGAAGAACATCCGAAATGCTGTGGAAACAGCAGTGACATCTGCTAGTATGGCAAACCACAGGGTTAGGAGAAAAACTGGATCTCAGCAGCATCTACCGAACTAATGGATGCTCGAAAACTCATCCCATCTGGCACTGAACATAACGAAGAGCGGAGTCAGCTTAAGCGCAGGCTAATAAGAAGCCTACGCAATGATCGCGAACAATAGTGGGTAGCGAAAGCAAGAGAGATGGAAAAGGCAGCGGTAATAGGTAAAAGCAGACAACTATTCAGACTTGTTAAGGAAACTGGTATTAGGAACCCAACTGTCAGCGAAACTATCTCGGAAAGTGATGGACATATCATTCATTCCCAATCCAAGAGATTGGATCGATGGGCAGACCACATTAGGAATCAGTTCAACTGGCTTTTAGCCACATTTCGGTTTCCCACGATCCCCAGTCGACCTGAATGGCAAGTTAATGTTAGTCCACCAACTCTTTATGAAGTTGAAAAAGCTATAGGAAATCTGAAGTGTGGGAAAGCAGCAGGCTCTGACAGGTTTACCCCTGAGATTTTTAAGGATGGTGGTCCAGTATTAGCAGCGAGATTGACTGTCTTAGGTAGAATTTATAAGAAAGGACAAAAGTCCTCTTGTGACAATCACAGAGGAGTCAGTTTGACTTATATAGTGTCTAAAATATTACCTTCATTAATAATTTGACGCCTAACCAAAACTCGTGAAGAGCAGACTAGAGAAAACCAGGCTGGTTTTCGATCTGGACGTGGTTGTATAGACCAGATATTCTTTCTATGACGGGTCCTAGAACCTAGATACACATTCAGACGTCCCACAATAGTAGTATTTCTCGACATTAAGGCGGCATTTGACTTCGTTGATCGTGAGGTTCTGTGACAGTGTTTGTCACTGAAAGGAGTACCAAAGAAGTACATTAACCTTATAAGGGCTCTCTACTCGAACACAACTGGTCGAATTAGAGCCTATAGCAAACTGTCATCAGAATTGATTACCTCAAGTAGTGCTCGTCAGGGCTGTTCACTCTTGTTTAACTTAGTCGTTGACATGTTTTTAGAGATAACACTTTCATCATCTAAATCTCCAGGAGTTGAACTTTTACCGTGAGACTCACTTGTTGACTTAGAATACGCCGATGACATAGTTCTATTTGGTGAAGCCGCTGACAAAACGCAGTCTTCTGACCATTATAAACAACAATGCAGGCATGTTCGGGACGCGATTCTCCCCCTCGAAATGCAAAATGTTACTTCAGGCTTGGGTTGCATCGGCACCTGAACTAATGATAGGGAGTGAAGTAGTTGAGAGTGTTGACCGCTTCACTTATCTTGTGAGTCTCGTCAGCCCTTGTGGTCTGGTGTGTAACGAAATCTCAGCACGGATATAGAAGGCTCGTCTAGATTTCTCCAAATTGCATCATTTATGGCGTAGGCGAGACATCCGTCTACCAACCAAAGGATGGGTTTACTGTGCAGCAGTCCGTTCCGTCCTACTTTATGGCTGTGAAATATGGCCGGTAAGAGTAGATGATATTCGATCATAGGTGTCTTCGAAGCATTGCTTGTATATCCTGGGACCACCAGGTAAGTAATGCGGTTGTTAGGAAACGGGTACTAGGTAAGGATGGCCAATCGATTAATGAGGTAGTGAAACTTCATCAGTTGAGATGGCTGGGACACGTGTTACGTATGCCCAACCACCGACTGCCCCGATATGCAATGTTTCATGGTGTAGGAGCAGGTTGGAAGAAAGCTATGGGAGGCCAGACCAAAACGTGACACAAATCCATGAAGTCACTGACAAGTGAACTGAGCCATGCTGGTAGGTGTAGATTATTTGGCTGGGATCCGCAAAATGATTACAACCGATTGTTAGAGACCTTGAATGACATGGCTCAAAATCGTTTGCAATGGTGAAGGTGCATCCACTCTTTGTGTTCTGCCGAATTCTAATCTTCTGAATTTTTAATGTGCCTTTCTTTTTTCTCTTTCCAAATTTATTGTATTGGATTATACTCCTTAAATGACATCTTCAAACCCTAATCTTTCGGTTTACTGCTTATACTCTCACTAATTCCACCACTATGGTATTTAAATGGACAACTGCATCTCTGCTAATGTGGTATGGCAACTCGAACTGATGTACGTACGTACGAAGTTCTACGTTGTGACTGTGTTTTACTTCGGTTTGAGCGACCGGGAAATACTCCATCTTGAAAAGTTCTCACATGGCCTTGCGTATATAGCCTCTGTCAGGGAAGTCCTACTCACTGCCTTCTCGCACCACGAGTGTTGCTTACGAAATTGAGACGACGAAAAGCGAATGTCCGGCGCTTTAACCGGGTTGGTGAACACTCTTCATGTCGACCTAGGGGAGTTAGAAAACCCTGATTCTAAACCAATAGTGCACATGGGCTCCAGTATCCTGAGAGAACAAATGGCGTATGAACCAACCGTTAGTCACCACCTGTTTCGGTTTAGGCACCCGGGCAGTATCACAGCCCTCACACAAATCAAATGAGATTTGTGTGGCGCATATGTATCTGCTGCCCCTTTGTACCAATATTTATGTGTTTAAATAAATAATTAAACTGGTTTAATGTGCCACCTTTCAATCTTGACAAATCGGAATGAGTTCTCAGATTTAGCTGATATTCAGATGAGAACATATCCTCCTCATCCTGTTGATTTATTACCAAGTATATTTTTCTTAAAAAGATGATTGAATTCGTTTAAACACACCACTTTATTGATGTATACAAATGGTTAATATACAGTATCAATGAAAATTTAAATGGGAAGTGATATGCTTTTAGAAAAATAATCTTAATAACAACAACAAAAAGAAGTAGGCATGAAATATTACATTATGTTGTAGTCAGATTCAGGAAGACAGATGCGCTTTTTTATACTTTGCCAAATCCATGATGCAGACAGTTGAAAACAATTCTGAAAGTAAGGTAGTAAATGACAACTTAGTAGGTTGTTTTTTCATAGTTGAAATCATGAGTCAATTGAAGCTAGACCACCATGGAAAACCTGGAAGCACTGGACGGCCGTTTCGTCCTATTGTGGGACTCTTCAGCAGTGCGCATCCACGACCTCGCCTCGCGAGATCCAAACTCAGTACCTATCAGTCACGCGCAAGAGCACTTAACCGATGCTGATGTTAAAAACTGAATAGTCACTAATGTTCTATTCTGGTTGAATGTTAGTCACATGGACTCCAGATTTATAGAATAATGTGAGGTAACGAACATAAAATAAAATCTGGTCATTTAGACATAGCGCTTTTAAATAATCTACACCAACATATTTATGAATCAAACACGTTATTTGCTCATACATTAAATAGGTATGAGTCTAAGCACAGCATGCGTAACCTGTCTGGTAAATATGCGTACGGAGATCTGGAAGGATTTCTATTACGAAATTTGATATATGTGAACCGTATCTCTTCTCAACGTACTGTCTATTTGTGGCAAAACATTGCATCTCCGGTTTCGTCATAAACATCCCTCAAAGTCGCCAGAAGTCTGGCGAGATATCATACTAGCAGAACCGAGGAATGAAGGAGGACTTTTTTTTATTCCGTACAGCGTGTCTTTTTCAACTTTTGGTCAAAAGTCGACAACGTTGGATGACGTTTGTGTACACATCTTCCTTAATTTTAAATGTTTTTCTAGAAAATCATATGTGCAAATAACTCCTGAATTCAGTTTATTAATAATCATAGGAACAGTAAATTGTACAATAGATTAGAAAGCCCAAGCGACCACATGTCTGACAGTTGGTCATAACTAGTACCTTTAATTATGAAGTTGACGAATTTATTGGACAGACTATCTATGTAAAACTCTCGGTCCTAAATGAACTGCCTAATAAATAACAAATGTAACTGTAGTATAAAAAGCACTCACATCTTTCGATAATGTACTAAGAAGAAGAAGATTATCAGAACTCACCTCTTTATCGATCGGTTTCAACTTCGGATTTAATTTACCTGTGTAAATAATATGTGTGACAGATGAGTCTAGATTAGATGCTACAACACCATCATAAGTGAACTAGATTAATCAACAATGATAATAATATTGAGTTAAGGGAGGCCGACAGCTCTCTTCATCGATAAAAATTAGATTGACATTGTATCACTTGTTCATTTTAAAAAATAGGCTAATATTTGGTTTATTTCCTATCATCAATGGTATTCAATAATGAATTTCAACTATTCTCTGTTGGGATAAACAGAGACTTAGCCAATACCTCAAAACTATCTACAGTTACAAGCTTGATTTTATTTTTGAATTATGTATACAATTAAGATACGGGGTGCATTTCATTCTAACTGAGACTTATTAAAAAGGAACGAATCGAGCGAAGAAATTTCTTTTCAATTAGTTTTTCATCATGGCTCTATACTAATATATATATGATTTACAATAATTAAATAACACTCATGGAGTAGATACGTTACGTAATGATTATATAATGACATCGATTATAAACTAACACTAATTGGAAGAGAAGGATTAATACTAATCAAAGTAGTTATTCGAAAATCAAGCTGTTGCTACGTTGCATAATATATAAAAAGAGAAGAAAGAACTAACAAAATATTTTGATGAATGGTCAGTAATATAGTAGTTATGTAAGAATCAAGAGACGAATGAAGAGAATAAGTAAAATACAAAAAAATGGAAGGAATAAGATAATTGTTTACCGAAATTATGCTACAAACTCCGCTATACCGATGGCCAAGGTAGCGAAAGTGGTTGTACAAACTTCTTTTGGATACATAGGTTCGGTTTGTGGATATGAATTGCGATGGCTTCAGCTATGTGCAATAGACGAGCTCGTAAACCATGTGGCAAATTTGATGGAATATGGTAGATAACCTTAAAAGCTTTATTCAGTTCAACATGATGACCTGTGTCCACCAAGTGAGCGAGAATAGAACTCTTAATCCCCTTTACCTGTCCTTTAGTCAACCATGACGGATGGTGTTCTGTTATTCGTTGACGAACTTATTAGTTGAATGTTCTTGATGTTTATACTGAAACTGGAAATCAGTACCTATCGCTTAAAGGGCATCCTAAACTTCATTGCTAACCACAATTAAGAAATATAATCTGGAATTTTCATGGAAAGACGACAGTTGAATCGTATAAGCATTTTAATTTAGATTAGTAGTTCTAATCGAATCCGATATCACCTAAGGAAAGTCATATAGGCAGACAGTATTTATGGATAGAGTGTGAGTTAACAGCGTAGTTATGTAAATAATCAACTGTTTCCCATTAAAAGTACACATCTATTTACAAAATATTACTATGAAGGAATTTGTACAAGTTTTAGGATTTTAATCGTTTAAATCGCGAATTGATTTAATCTAGACCATCACTGAGAATCAAAAAGCATCGGAGAGTTGTTTCATCCTAATGTGAAGCTCCTCATCAGTGCACACCCACAATTCCTTAAGAGATTGAATTCAGGTGTTTCGGTATCGTGTGCGAAATCCCAACTTGTAGGCTAATTGTGTAAGTGTCTAACTCCAATCAATTCACAATGTTGCATAACCCTCATTTATTACCTTCAATGGATAACTGTCTCACACTCGAGATAGTTGAACTCTACTGGGTTTGATTTTCGGATATAGGGTTGTAAAGGCGATCTGTCAAGGAGTGCTATACTAAGACAAAACAATCATTCATAGCTTGCTAGTACATGAAATAATCTAATTAACATTTAAATAATGAACAAATAAAAGGATATGCAATAATCATTCGTTTTAATTTCTTCACATCATCATTACTATTATCATTGTTATCAACTGGAAAACTGTCAATATAGAATGATTTGCCGGTAAATAAATTATACAAATAGTTAGCTGGTTGCATAGTTTCTGTAAAACAAAATAGACAATGATCAAATTATATGTATCTAGATTAATAGATTTTTTTTTTAATCCACTGGATTCACTACTTTTATGGAGTGTGCTACTGATGTTCACAGATATAAGTAGTATGTGGCACTATACGAAAGTAAGATGCATGGCAGAAGATGGAAGAGAAGACAACGAAAACAGAGGATGATTAGTGTGGAAATGAAGAAACGATCAAGTCTAAGACAATTAATTGACATTTTGTAAATGAAGTATTTACTGTATGGTTTTTAGACTTTACCAAGATATTTTGTAATGTCATGTTGAAATACATTCGGTTGTGATGGAGTTTTGTTCTTTGAACTGGATGGTTTGGTCGTGGAGCTTTCATCGTTTATCTGAAAGACATTGTCAGAACAAACTTCATCCAGCGCAGAAAACAAAACTCCATAAAAATTATCCACCTGAGCTACTGTCGGGGATGTCAGATCCCCAGAACTCACTTGATAAATGTGTTATTTTTGTAATTTTATTTTAAAAATTTGAATTTCTTGTTTTCGCACCAAAAGCGCTCGTTTTCACCATCATGTCGTATTTCCCACTTGGGAGGATCTTCAACGCTATTGATTTGTTGTATCTTTTAGTATGCTATTCTCTAACACTTCCCAAGGACAATTTTATGCTCTATGTATACGTTGGATTTGTACCTATTGTGACTGATTGTGCATCTTGAGGAATATATTAACCCACTTCGGAATTGGACTTCTCACTCTAGTAAGTGGGGCTGGGACGAGTCAGAATAGCTAGCTTATTGGTCTTTGGTCACAGAGTCTTTGTTCGTTCTCAGATTAGGGAACTCGTAATCGCTTCAAACATAACAGCGACAAATCTTCTACACATTCGGTTGTCCCCACTGATGTTCCCATTTACTGCATTTGGTGTTGCTGCCAACCAGGAGGCGGAGATTTTGTTCTGCAGACGCCGTTACGTTGATCAAGAAAATAAAGACTTAGGATTTATATGAAAACAAAAAATGAATGCACTAACGCCATCACGAACGATTGTGAGCCTTCTCATAGTTTCGAAGCATGGAATTGCAAAAATCACACGGATCCTAACCAGGTATTCTGCGTTAATCTAAGTGGCTAAGTCTAATAGTCAATAACTTCGCGAACTGATGCCATATATTGGTTTGGATGCTTCCAGATCTCTTCCAACCTATTCTTGTGTTACATCTAGAGCTTTGATTCTTGTTATGCCGCGTACTACTAGACTATTTGAACGATCGAACCCGCAACGTCGCAAGAGAGAAGACTAGTAAGTAGGAATTTTATTCCTTTAAACACTGTCAAATATAGTACAAAAATCTCATGTATTTATAGTTTTTCGGCTGAAAGTAAATCATCATTTCGGACAGTTAATAGGCACATAGGGGGTCCTTATTATTCATCCAATAGGGAAGCTACACGTCGACACTCTAGAGAGTTCCCCTAGCAGTGATTGGATGGAATGTCTTCGGCTCTTTCTGGGCTTCTTGAATTTGCCAACGAGCCATCCTTACACTTGCCCTAGTCTTCGTTACATGTCAAGACAATCAACGGATGAGGATATTATATACATGTCCCAACCACATCGATTGATAAAGATTCGGTCCCTCGATAACTGACTTGCTATATTTACATAGTACTCTGCATCTAACCTTAGGATTGTTAACTTGATGGTACAAAAATATACAAATAGGAAACCCCAGTTGATCCCGTAATCTGAGGTTAACTGGACAGTAAAGAAAACTTGACGAGAATAAAGAAGTTACACAAAAAACAAAAAAAAATTTTGACTAACCCAGATTTTGGTTAGAATTAATTATATTTTGTGATGAGGAGATTTTTCGTTTCATAGACCTCAAAGGTTCTATTTTAAAAACCGAAAAGAAAAGAGAAAACTACACAGTAAATGATGCTAACCAGTATATAATATAATTAGCAATATGAAAAGTGAAAGGGAAAAAATCTACTATCTAGTTAAAAATAATATAGTGACCGTGGAGATTATAATCTATTACTGATAGAAAAGTTCATACGTTACCGACCCAATCTCACTGGATGGAAAAGTCCTGGAAGAGGTGGAATTTTTCATATACCTGGGAAGCATCATTGATAAACAAGGAAGATTTGATACAGATGTAAAGGCGAAGATTGGCAAAGCAAGGGCGGCATTCCTATAGTTGGAGAACATACTTATGCCTGTTACTCCCAATGGAGCATAGGCCGCCAACCAGCATTCTCCAACACACTCTGCCCTGGGCCTTCCTTTCTAGTTCTATCCAGTTTTTCTCCATTCTTCTCATGTCTGTCTCCATTTCTCGGCGTAATGTGTTCTTTGGTCTTCCTTTTCTCTTTTGGCCTTCAGGATTCCATGTGTGGGCTTGTGACGCAGTTGGGTGATTTCCTTAATATGTGCCCTATCCACTTCCAGCGCCTCTTCCTGATTTCTTCCGCTGGAATCTGGTTTGTTGTCTCCCACAGTAGCTTGTTGCTGATAGTGTCTGGCCAGTTGAAGAGCATATGGAACTCAAAACAACTGTCGACCAATATCAAAGTCATAATCCCCAACATGAACGTCAAGACAGTTCTACTGTATGGGGCTGAAATGTGAAGAACTACTACAACCACCATTAACAAGATGTAAGTATTTATAAACAGTTGTCTACACAAGATACTCCATATCCGTTGGTCGGATACCATCAGCAACAGCCTACTATGAGAGAGAACAAACCAAATTTCAGATTAAAAGGAAATTACGTCAGTCAGTCAGAGACAACGTAGGAACAGGCACATACATGCATCGGTCCAAGTTGCCATACCTCGTTAGCACAACAAGATGAACACCGGATTCGTAGAAATAATTAATTTAGAAAGGTTGTATATAAGGATATAGTGTGGGAAGGAAAAAAGTTATGAAATAATTTTAATCTCAAGGTTTAAGGGAAGATAAAGAGTGCATACACCTACGCCATTGTGATCGATTCTGAGCCATGTCACCCAGAGTCTCCAACCATTGGTTACGATAGTCACGCGGACCCCAACCAGGTAGTCTGCATCTGCCAACATGGCTCAGACTAGAAGTTAGTGACTTCAAGCACTGATGCCATGTTTTGGTTTGGCCGCCCCTCACTCTTTTACAACCATCCCCTACACTGGTCAACATTGCGCGTCGTGGTAATTGGTGTTTAGGCATACGTAACACGTGGATCAACCATCTCAGTCGATCTGATTTTGAGAAACTGTGATCATTCAGTTAATAATACATATAAGCTGTAACTTCCTCATGAGGAAATGATCTGATAATCAGCTTTTTCACATAAGGTAATAATCGTCAGCAAGTTTCTGACATGTATTGAAGTCATTTCGTACTAGAAATTACCCTACTCCCTAATTCACTAAACATGGACCTCCTCTAATTCATTGTTTTCTTTGTATCCATGTGATCATCAAATATAAAACACTTAAAATTATAAAATATATTAACCTTTGGATGATGTAGTAGACATTGTACAGGAATCCAACGAATGATGATTATCCGCATTAACTGGACGATAATAATATCTTTAATTATATGTGTAGTACATATAAATAGTGCATAAAAACTAGTTAAGAAATATAGATTACAACACATTTGTTAACATTAATAGAACTTTTCTAACGAACTAATCGATTTTGATACGTTACTAAGTGTCTGTGTCAAAGTAACTTGATAGTATAATGGATAACGTGATGGCGTTTGAAGCGAAAGGTACTGGGTTCGAGTCGCAGAGTGAACATCAACACTGAGATGCAGTTACATCAAGCTGACGAGTCCCAAATAGAACAAAACGCGCGTCAAACTGGAATCCACTACTAGCCACTATCCATCTTTGCTTACAATGCTTGTGAATTAAGGAAATATCAAGGCAATACGCACAGTATGCACATATGCTAATTAGAGACTGACCAGTTGCAGTCCTAAAACATCGATGGGAAGATCTAAACAAACAATACTAAATGAATTGATAGTATATTTTTTTTTTAAAATCCTCACAGATAGTGGGATCACTTACAGCTGTCATTAGTTTATACATACTTAATTGAGTCATATGACTGTGAATAAAACAAATGAACTATTACTCATGTAACTTACACTCATCAAGTACAAGTTTATGTGCTTAGTTTTGAAAACTATATTTTTTATGTAAAGGTTGATGTTGCTATACAGTTGTGAAAACTAAAGTAGGTGAAGTGAGATTAGAACCAGTGATCCAACAATGGTTGAAGCTGAATGTTTTATTTAATGATCAATTATGTATTTCAGCACAACTATGAATGTATATTAACTCCTGATTCCTGACTAATAGAAAAAAGATATGAGAAGATGAGATGGGTAGAGAATCTTACTTACTGAATAACCCTACAGACAAGGATAGAGAAAGTTAGCTCTCCCTCCGGAAATGCCGATTTCCGGCGTTATAACCCGGGTTGGAGGAGATGAAAGATTCACTTAGGGGAGTTGAAAAACCCTTATTTTAAATCTATAGTGCACATAGGCTCCAGGATCCTGAAGCAACAAATGACATATGAATCTATTGTTGGTCATGAGCTACCATGAGAATACATCTCTTAACGTTGCTTGACTGCCGTGTGGATTAAATCTCTAAGTCAAATGCTCGGAGAATGATTTACTAATAAAACCATCTGCTTCGATTTGAGCACCTTGTCAGTATCTCAGCTCTCACAGAAATTGTATTTTATTTCATTTTATTTAAACACATAAATACTGGTACATAGGGACATCAGATATATATGCGCCATAAAAATCTCATTTGATTTGTGTGAGGGCTGTGATACTGCCCACGTGCCCAAACCGAAACAGGTGGTTTTCTTAGGGGGCCACACCTGGAGCCTTTGACCTAAAGATCTGATCCACAAAGCAGTGGAGCATCGTGAGGAGATGCAGTCCCATGGTAGCTGGTGATCAACAATTGATTCATACGCCATTTTTTCCCTCAGGATACTGGAGCCAATGTGCACTATTAGTTTGAAATGAAGGTTTTCCAACTCCTCTAGGCGGACTTTCTGTGTCCACCGACCCGGTCAAAGCGCCGGACATTCGCTTTTCGTCCTCTCGATTTCGTAAACAACACCCGTGGTGCGAGAAGGCAGTGAGTATGACTTCCCTGTCAGAGGCTATATACGCGTGGCAATATGAGAGCATTTGGAGAGGGAGAGCGAACTCTCTCTCCCCACTCTCGGCCGTACCAGGGCATTTGGGGGCTCACAGAAATTGAATGATTTATTGTATGGCACACATGTATTTTGGTAGCCCTTTGTACCAATATTTATGTGTTTAAATAAATAAATAAACATTCAATGACAATGTAAGCAGATAATTACAATAATAAAGAAAAAAAGGATACACATATACTGAAATATGATGATGATCAACAAGATGTTTTCTTAATAATCTTTCAATTTGATACCATGTAAATGCTTGAGTTCCATGTCCTAATCGAGGAATATGAATAGAACCTATAAAATGAAGAAAGGCAAATTCAAAATCTAAAATATTATTAAATGTATCATTTATATTTAAGGTATTTTCAAGTACATGTCAGATTAGTGAACACTTAGTTAAACAGATAAACACATTGACAAAAAAGAGCCACCAAAATACATATATGCCACACAATAGATCATTCAATTTATGTGTGAACTGCAATATTGATAAAGTGATCAAATCGAAGCATATTGCTTTTATTAGGCGACCACTCACTGAACTTTTCATCAAGAAGTCTAATCCACAAGGCAGTCGAGTAACGTTAGGGGATACAGTCTCACAGTTGATAGCTCGTGATCAAACATAGGTTCATACATGATCTTTTCTTTCAGGATTCTGGGTTTGGAATTAGAGTTTTACAACTCCCCTACATTGATCATCCGTACCGACCACCAATCTGGTTTGAGTTGTCGTTGGAGACTCGCTTTGAGTCCTCTCGATTTCGTAAACAACACCCTTGCTTCCAGAAGGAATTGAGTACGATTTGCCTGTCAGTGGTTATATATTTGTGGTCATATGAGAGTATTTTGAGAGAGTGAACAGACACTCCCTACCCTCGACCGTGCTAGGGCATTTGAGAGCTATTAGATTAGTACAGGGGTTTTGTGGAGTGTTAAGTTTTCGTAGTTTTAAATCATGAACCGATCTTAGCTAGACCACTACTGAAAGCCAAAAAGCATTGTACAGATATTTCATCCTTAGATAAGACGCTTGAGAAGTGCACATACCAAGACCCCACCACCAGAGATCGGAGCCCAGGCCTGTAGGTGTCAAGAGCAAACGCCTAACTAATAGACCACAGTGCCTGTATTCAATGTCGTACATATTTAAATTCACCATTAAACTAATAACCCGAAGAAGTGTATGTTGATTTTTCAAAATTAATTTTGAAAATAATTTAGCGGGGATAAATACAAGTTAGAAAGCTTAAAATAAAGAATGATAAATTGAAGATGGGATTAAATTTTATGGGGAGACGAAATAGGTATATGGTAGATCACTCAAAATGATTTGGTTTTATCAACTATATGACTAATGTTAATCAGATGTGCTAAGATAGAGTCACGTATCGTTTTCATCCGGCCCTTTCTAAATCATTCAGGGAGATGTTCACTCAATCGAAAGCAATACATAACTCTGCCTTGGGCACACCTGCTTAACAGTAGTCATTTCGAGTGGTTTGTCGTACGTCATCGTCGTTTCCCAATGGGATTCCCACATATAGCATAAGCTGTAGGGACTCGAGACTGAAACCCTAGTTCATCTGTTTAAAAGGAACAATAAATACTGATAAATCACATGATGCATTACTCAGTAATTATTGGAAAAACATTATCCACCAGTTTACATAGAATAGATGAAATATGACTAGCAGTGGAATCTAGGAAGCGTGTTTCGTCCTAATTGGGACCCATCACATTCCGTTTATTCTATATAAACTTGGGAAGTAATGGTTATTATCGAGGCAATCCGCACAAGATGCACACATGCCAAATAAGACTGATCGAATTTCAGTCAAAATAACAAAAACGAGATAATCAAAATTATTACCAATTAAATTATGTATCGAGTAATGGTATACAAAAGAAAGCACAAAATTAAAAACTCAATCATTGAATATCTTCATTCTGTTATAGGGGGGAATGAACAGTAAACACAATAGTGTAACTCATTTTTGTATTGGTTGTTTGAATCTTCCCATTGATGCTTGAAGTCACAAGCAAACTAAACAAATATGGATGGTGATTAGCAGTGGAATCCAGGACGCGCGATCCCTCCTATTTGGGATCCGCCAACTGCTTATAATGTTTGTGACTTAAGACAATATCACGACAATATGCGCAGGATGTATATATGCCAATAAGAGACTGATCAATTGTAGTCCTAAACATCAATGGGAAGATCCAAACAAACAATACAAAAACGAATTAAAACTTCACCCCATTGCACAAGCTAGTGGCTATCAGAACTCGGCAGCTATGTGGATAAAGTGATGGTGTTTGAAGCAAATGTTACTGGGCTTGAGTCCCAGAGTGAATATCAACTCTAGGATGCAGGTACGTTCAGTTGATGAGTCATAATGAGGACAAAAAGCGAGTCCCAGATTCCACTGCTAGAAACCATACATCTTCGCTAAAAATAGTGTAATGTTATAACGTTAATAATCTATAAATTCAATTCTTCATTATTACTTACACGATTTCAAACGGGCACAAGCCATTCCAAGAGCACATAAACTTTTTTCTAATGAGTTTAGTTGTAAATCTGGAGCTTCACCAGTTGAATGAGTTCTCTTGGAATGTTTTTGAGCAACTAACAGGCCACAAAAATTATTTAACCAGTGATCATGGACAACCGGTTTAGTGCTATCAACATCATCATTATTATTGTCATGATGGTTGGTTAAATAATCATGAAAAGTCTACAAATGTCGTTATGTAATGAAAAGAAACAAGATTATAGAAAATTATACAACTAAATTAGAACAACACTATATTTTCGACAGATACTTGATCAGTCTAACCACAATAAGATTCAATAGACACACAGACTAAAGGTTAGAAAACGTTATTTTATCAAATTTGGATAGTATTTTTGCCATCTCTCAGAAAGTCCCTGTAAGTTTTCAGAATGCCAACTTCATGACCAATTCTACCACACTTCATTTTTTATGGTCCATACATTGTCCTATCATCGTTTTGCATTTTCGGAGCAAGAAAAAGAACATTGCAAGGGCCTCCAATTTAGTGAGTAGGATGGATGACATACGGAAACGATAGAATGACGTGCTAGAAACTCGTGAACAATCACTGATGAATGTACAGACCTGTTGTTGAGATATAGGATTACACAAACTTGGTCCTACACAAATGCTTAAGAGCTCAGAAGAAAGAGCATTTACAGTACATTTATTTATCCATACATAAATAAATATAACAACTTCGATAGCTCAAGATATTTACTTATAACTGTGTAGTTTGAGATGCATGATATTGTAACTCAAATATGCAAATTTCTGATGGGATTGAGGTGTATGTAGGTAATGAGAGAGAAACAGATAAGAATATAGATCTCTAATAGTATCATATTCAATAACATAACAAATCGATCCGCATAATTCATTGCAGCAAGTATATATAGTAGATGATAACGATTAAATCACAGTTCTACTTTCCACTAAACTTCGTCATATTTGTACAACTGCCAGTTAGTTTATCACTAAAATTTATTTTGTACAGCCTATTTCCATCATAGCTGTTTCGAGAATGTTATTATTAGTGGAGTTAGAGAGGAATGGTGAGATAAGACAACCCTGCTTAGTCCTACAAGTAGAGGGGGCTGTATGCCTTTATTCTGCCTGAAGTCTTTATGCACAGAGACTTCAATATATTAATAAGCTTCTCAGACATCCTCTTCTTTAACAGACAGTTCAAGAGCACAATTTTATTGAATGGATCGATTGCAGCCTCGATGTCAGATGAATCATAACAACTGTTGGCTTGCAACAAGTGTGGTGGTGATCCGCTAATCGGTAAAGGTTGAAGAGATGATCAATACATACCCAAGAACTGAACGAAAGCCGACCTAGTAGTTGAGAATTAGCGCTTCATGGCTTTTGAACAATCTGAAGAGTATGACAGAAGCTGGTAATTTGACCACAAATAGAAGTAGATTTGACCCTCAATAGTTATTGCATAAGTTATCCTAGATATTTTAAAAGGTAGAGATAATAATCATTTCATTCTAAGATTAAGCCAACAAGTTGACATCCAACAGTTTATATTTCAAAATTTTGTTAACAAGACAGTGGATCCCAACTGCTGAGAAGTTACACGCTAAAAATAAAGTTTTTTAAAGCTTCTTGACTTTGATGACTGTCTAGTTTACGTCAGAATGTAGTGTACAATTACAAATCAGATTGATAAACACATAATCTTACTTTAATCTCCTTTTCTGTTGATGATGAGGGTGATGAATTTTCAGAATTCCCAATTGGAACAATTAAACAATCGCCTAAATTTAAGTCATCCATGTGACCAGCTAATTCGTATACATCTTTAATTTGATTATTACTACGTCTACTAAGAGCTCCAAATATTCCACCATGACTCCAATGCCCACTATCATCTGTAGAAATGTATAAATTGAAGGAAATTTCATAGGTGAGATTGGAAGATTACTATACATGGAATGATATAACCTGTGAAGTGATATATTCAACAAATAAGCAAATTAATGTTATGAAAAAGCAACGTAACAAAATAAGGGATATAATAATCTTGTTCACTGCCAACTAATCCTCATTTGTGGCAACAAACTTGGCCTATCTCTATTTCTCCTCCTTAAATCATCTCTAGAGATACTTAAAAGTCGGACAATTCAGCTGTCTCGTTATTTTACGCTTTGTCGCCTTATATCATACATATAAAACAGTGGTTTGATACTGTGGTGTGAGCTACTTATATCGACATAAGTAGTATATATGGTGAGTAAGGAATAGAATATCTGACAGCAGAAGATTGAGAAGATCAAGAAGAGAAGAACAGAAGTAAAAAGCAATTTGTGTGGAAATCCAGGAACAAGGAAGCCTGAGGCAATTGAAGAACATTTTGCAAATAGTGTATCATAGCATGGTTTTTGTATTTTACCAAGTACCGTTGTAATTTGTGCTAAATACATAGTTGGTTGTCTTCACCTGTGTTCTCATTCACAACAATACTACCGACTTTTCGGGCAATTTTTCAGACCTAGATTATTAACACCGATGTTGGTAGTATGCCAGTGGTTGGAAAAAAGAAGTGACTACTTACATTCGATTTTCTTTTCACAACACAAGAAGTTTATGGTCTCACACAAACAACAATCCTAGTAATTCAATCCGTCAAGTAAAGGTTTATAAAAACATCATTGGCTGATGATATTCGAGCCGATCTGCAATCGATAAAAATATCAACATGAACCTTATTTTCATAGTTGAAATCATGAGTCAATTGAAGCTAGACCACCATGGAAAACCTGAAAGCCCTGGATGGCCGTTTCGTCCTATTATGGGACTCCTCAGCAGTGCGCATCCACGACCCCACACTCGCGAGATTCGAACCCAGGACCTACCAGCCTCGCGCCAAAGAGCTTAACCGAGGAGTCCCATAATAGAACGAAACGGCCGTCCAGTGCCTCCAGGTTTCTCATGGTGGTCTAGCTTCAATTGACTCATGATTTCAACTATGAAAATACTGGAATCTCCACAAAACCCCTTATGATTTATACACCTTATTATCTAATCTATACATAAAAAGCTGATCAATAACATAGGAAAAGGTGAACTGAGAATGTCAGTGAATGGAGATACAAAGAAAAATATAATTAATAAAACCTACGAAAATAACCAACATCGAACATCTGAAAAGATATTAAGCTTACCAATAGTAGTACATACAAAATATGGTGGTGTACCGTCAATTTTATTTTGAGCTTTCATTAATGAGAAAATACTAAGTGGCTCTGAAGCATCGCCAATTTTATAATAGATTCCAGCACCAGTTCCATATGGAGACTCTTCGCTTGCCATCTCATTTGTTATTTCATCCTTGAAGTCATCATCATTAACAAGTACATTCTCTAGTTGATCCCTATGATTAGGATATGGATAATGATTTGATTCAGCTATAATCGATTCATCACGGAATACACTGAATGTTTTATAATCAACAGAATGCCATAAGGAAAGTCTAAAATATCAATTAGATAAATGACAGTTAAATTTCAATATAAATTGAATAAACTGTCTTATTGTGGTGTATGCTACTTATGCCTTTCAAGACAAGTAGTATGTAACACAAATCAGAAGTAGGATGCATGGCAACAGAAGGCGAAGAAGATCGAGTTGAAGAAAACAAAAAGGGAATAAACAAGAAATAGTGAACTGAAAGAATCATACAAAATGTGAAGAACAGTCGATGGAAGATTTGCAAATAAATGGTTCTCTCCAAATGCTCTCATATGGCCACGCGTATACAGCCTCTGTCAGGGAAGTCATACTCACTGCCTTCTCGTGGCATTACTGTTGTTTACGAAATTGAGAGAACGAAAAGCGAATGCTCGGCTCTTTAACCGGGTTGGTAGATACTGAAAGTCCACCTAGAGGAGTTGGAGAACCTTCATTCAAAACCAACAGTGCACATGGACTCCAGTATCCTGAGGGAACAAATGGTGTATAAATTAATCGTTGATCATCAGCTACCATGGGACTGCATCTCTTCACGATGCTCCACTGCTTTGTGGATCAGATCTTTAGGTCAAAGGCTCCAGGTGTGATCCCCTAAGCAAACTACCTGCTTCGGTTTGGGTACCCGGGCAGTATCATAGCTCTCACACAAACCAAATGAGATTTGTGTGGCGCATATGTATCTGGTGCTTCTTTGTACCAATATTTATGTGTTTAAATAATAAATAATAAACCGATGAAGTATTTGGAATTATAGAATATACACATTATAAACTATGAACAAACAATGGATAAAGTATCCTTTATACTGCAATAAAGAGCTTACTTTTGTTTTAAATGTTCAGCGCTTCGTTTTGCTTCATTTTCTTTTCGTTTATATTCACGTTTAGCTTTAGTCTCAACAGCCTAATTGTAAGTTTGAAAATACAACGAGTACATAAGTTATGTCTAGATTAATAAATGTGCATAATATATCCAATAAATATGTGTAACGAACTACTAAGGATGTTAGTTTACAGATATAAGTAAACACTATGGAAATTCACTAACTATTGAAGGTGGTTTTTTGGAGATAACTTGATCATTTATTTTGTCCAGATGATTGCTGATCATGGATGTACTGGGCTTGATTTGTTTTCTGGACAACAATTTTGGTAATTATGAAGAAATATAGCTGAATTTGAATGAAAATCAGAGCAGATGTTGGATGCCCCCCAAATGCCTTGGGCGCCATCTTTGGTGCCTTCGTGATGTTAGTCTGGCTGTAAAAGGTCGGATCTACAACGCGTCGGTGAGAGCAGTTTTGCTCTATGCTTGTGAAACCTGGCCTCTCCGAGTTGAGGATGTTAGACGATTCTCTGTGTTCGATCATCGTTGTCTCCGAAGGATTGATGACATCCAGTGGTAACACCATGTTAGTAATGCAGAGGTTCGGCATCGTGTGTTCGGGCTCAGAGACGATAATTCGATTGGTGTCACCATCTTGAAACACCGACTTCGGTGGCTTGGACATGTTTTACGAATGTCGTCCCAGAGACTTCCACGTCGTGCATTATTTGCCGACTCTGGGACTGCTTGGAAAATGCGGAGAGGTGGTCAGTGTATGATATGGTGTCGTGGTATGAAAGAAATCTGCAAAGAGCTGGTTTCTGTTGGTCCTTCACGACTCCCTGACTGGGGTCCAAGAGATAGTGCAACACAGTGACTAAAGACTGTGGTGGACGTTATCAGATATGGTTCAGAATAGAAGCCAATGGCGATCCTGCTGTAACCTTCTTTTACTTGCTTCATGAAGAATGGTCATAACCTCCTTAACTGAAAGAGTTCTTTTGGTTGTACATTTCAGGTTTCCCCACCATTACTCTTATATTTTTTACATATGCATCTTACCCCTTTTCTCTTCCCATTCTCATTGTTTTGTGCGGCGCATAAATATCTGGTGCCCCTTTGTACCAATATTTATGTGTTTAAATACATAAATAAATAAATAGATGTTGGATTCAAACAAACAACCTCTGAGTTACTAGCACGAGTTATCTTACAACCTTAATTATCAATATCAACTCCAAGTTGAAGCCTGTGAAACAATGTTGTCTTAGATATTTTCAAGTAATAATAACGATAAAATAACAAAACTAATAAATGATACCTTTTTATTGCGAGCTTCAATTTCTATTGATGTTAACTTTTTGCGATAGTTATTCAACTTGGTGAAAGCGGAATTCGATACACTGAATCCTGTAATATTTTCTGATGTAAGCAATTCATCATCTTCATTCTCATTTATTATACCTTCAACTTTTAATTTAGATTTGGTTAATTCATAGTCTGAAATGATAACAATAAACAGTAATAATGAAATTGTTGTATCCAATACAGGTATCTTCCATATAGTTAGCTTTGAACTACACTCTATGTGGTTTAAATCACAAAGTGATTTTAGTTAAACCACCATTGAAAACTAGAAAGCATTGTACAGCTGTTTTTTTTTATAGAATGAGACTCCTTATCAATGATCCACCATGGTCCTACCACGGGGGCTGGAACGCAGGATGTCCAATATTGCATCTAAACACCTGGCTTTAGAATGCTGAGTTGGTATTCAATGGTGTAAATGAACACTCATGAGAGGTCTTGGGCTCAACTCCTTGTAATGGAGTCGTGGATAGGCATTGCTGAAGAGTTTCCTACTAAGACGAATCAACTGTTCAGTGTTTCCTTGTTCCTAATGGCGGTCTAACTAAAATCTCCACAAAACTCACTACAGTAACCACATTTTATTGTGAAGAAAGGATACTCATGCGGTGACTTCAAGCAAAATATATGAAACAAGGTACGAATTGATGTCATCATAATAGTTGTACGCTAAATGCTTTAACGACTAAGTTACTATAACAATGCAGATCAAAGTTAAAGAAATATACCTTCACTTGTTAAACAATATGAAAACAAATAATAACAACATATTGTCCAACTGTATATTTATCTAGTTCGATAGATAGTGAGTCAATGTTTAGTGCAACAGTGTTGAGTTGATATCTTAATTGGAGCACCAACACGATTTTATACATAGAGCACTAATGAGCTCTTAAACAGAACAACACATTTCATTACTAAATATAAAGAGTGTTGTAATTTGAAATGAACAACTGGACTGATGACATATTTGCTTCAATATAAATAGAATGTACCAAATAAGAACAAATATGTATTTTGGAAAACTAATTTAAAACAGATTGTTGAACTCATAGAGAACTCTGTTATTCACTCAGTCAGTCAGAACGTAGGATCAAGCACATTTATGCATCGGTCCAAGTTACCATACCTCGTTAGCACAACAAGATGAACATCAGATTCATTGAAGTGGTTCATTTAGTGGTGGTAATATATAAAAGATAGGTTGTACATAAGGATATAGTATAGGAAGAAAGTTATGAAATAATTTTAATCTCAAGATTTAAGGGAAGATAAAGGGTGTGTACACCTACGCCATTGTGATCGATTCTGAGCCATGTCACACAGAGTCTCCAACCATTGGTTACGATAGTCACGCGGACCCCAACCAAGTAGTCTGCATCTGACAACATGGCTGAGACTACAAGTTAGTGACTTCAAGGACTAGCGCCATGTTTTGATTTGACCACCCCTAACTCTCAACCATCCCGAATACTAGCAATCATTGAGCGTCGTGGTAATTGGTGTTCAGGCATACGTAAAACGTGGCCCAACCATCTCAGTCGATGAAGATTCATCACCTCATCAGCTGATTTACCATCATTCCCTAATACCCTGTGTCTAACCTCACTGTTACTTACCCGGTGATCCCAGCAGATGCAAGCAATATTTCTAAGGCATCTGTGGTCAAATACTAGTAACCTACAAGTATCTTCTACTCTTAATGGCCATGTTTCACAGCCATAAAGTAGAACAGAGCGAACTGCCGCGCAGTATATTCGTCCCTTAATTGATAGACGGATATCTCGTCTTCGCCATAGATGACATAAGTTGGCAAAAGCCAAACGAGCTTTTTGAATCCGTGCTGAGAATTCATCAGACACCAACCCATTAGGGCTGATCAGACTTCCAAGATAAGTGAAGTTGTCCATGCGTTCGACTACTTCACTCCCTATCCTCAGTCCAGTTGTTGACGCAGGCCAGTCCTGGAGTAACAATTTACATTTAGATGGGGAGAAATGCATCCCAAACATCCTGGCATTATTACTCAGTTTTAACAGAAGACTTTGCATTTTCTCAGCGTCTTCACCAAACAGGACTATGTCATCTGCGTATTCTAAGTCGATATGTGGACCTCCTGGAAGGAGACCAATGCCTGAAAATTCAGTCGACGAGAGTGTGATTTCCAGCAATAGATCTATAACGAAATTATTCACTATTTAGAATGAATAGAATGTGGTTAGTAGTAAGATTTAAGATGTTCGTTTTATTCTACTTATGATTCATCAGCTAAATGAACATGCATCCAAGAGTAAGACTGATCGAATTTCAGTCAATGGAATAATCCAAACCATGGCAAATTAACATCCGCTATTTTTTCGTCATTATAAGAGACGTGATTAAGTAATAACATCAATTCACTACCTTGTTGCAACTTTTTGACTGCTTCTTGATCAGCTTCACTAGGTTCACAGTGAAACGGTTCATTTGTGAGTAGCACCCAACCACAAGAATTTATCTGTTCTTCTATAGTGCCGTTATTTATGGTGGATGGAGGAATTGGTAACCAGTGTCCTGTTACATGATCTGTTTCACCAAGTATTTGAGTAAAATTAAGATTGACTTTTTTGTCATCCTCATTATTGTTAACAACATCGTTATCAGTTGTGTTGAGTAGTTTAGCCAATCCAAATTTAAGAACATTATTCAACTATGGTAATCAAAAATGTGAAATAAACTGTAAGACCAATAACAAGGACATTTTATATATAAATACACTTTTAAAAAAACTAATACCGTGGAAGACTTATTCGTCAATACATCTAAGAATCAGAACACTGGATAAATTTACAAATCTCATTGAAACATAAATAACGAGCGTACAAATATCCAGAATTATGATGAGATGGAGTTCTATAGATTTCTAAATTTTAATTCTGATCTTATTCTACTTGGTTCCCCCAGATGGTCAGTCCTTAGCCGAATGGCTCAGTGTTAACGTCTGCGATTGTGACACTGGGGGACACGAGAGAGACACAGTAGTTCTCTCAAAATTACAGCTATAATTTCGTGACGATTGACAAATAGTATCAAACCTAAATAAAACGGAGCTGCCTGCTAATTGCCTCCAACCCTCCTAACATCGAAATACATTTATGATTTCCTGAGAGACTGACTAATTTTGATTTTTAGCAGAAAAGAAATTATGAAAATCAGGAAGTGATTGTAAAATAGAAGGCACTTGCTGCGAATAAGAGGATTTTATGAACTCAAAATACATTACTGTCATATTAATGGTAACTTGGATATATGAAGATCCAACACTCTTTCATGGGAGGGGGAGGATGAATTCCAGAAATTTAAAATCCGCATATCAACTCCGGATCTCTCAAAAAAGGGAGGTGTTGTATCCTGAAGAGAATTGTGGATGGTAACTTTTGAGGACTATTTATGGACCGATGTCATATGTATATTTCCCATTGTATAATTGTTAGGTAACTAAACTATTCATATTCGTGTTCCTCTTATCATAAGCTTTATTTTGACTTATGAACTATTATTATACAATTTACCATTATTGAGTTATCCCTAGTCTATTGATTACTGTTCCCCCTATTCACAGCCACTTTTGGCCAAATCTTGTACAAATGTTATTTTCTATTTTATGGTACGATGTGGTCAGTCTGTTTGGTATATAAACCCAGTATGTTTGAGAATAATGATTGATATTGCAGAGGCTGTTATTGGTGTGCCGGAATTAACTGGCTGGGCTAGGCAGATCAGCAGGGCCGATACGCACTCTAGGCTGCTCGTACGGTTTTTCTTGTGTCACTGTCCCAATCGATCATTCGCTGTTCTCTGATTGGCGGTTTTATCACGTCATACATTAACAGGTCATCCACTCGGCCACCAGATATAACAATTACATTTGTGATACATCTCATCATGTACTAACGTCCAACTGGAGAACTACTTAATATCAGACAGCATGGAAAAGAATTGTACTGTCTTAGTCGTTCTTGGCTACTCAGTTTAATCTCCATCTGTGACAGAAAGCTTTATCATTGAATTGATCTATTAAACAAAAGCTAACACATATACACACACACCCTTGAAAAAATAAACAGAACTATTATTCTCTTAAATTATTCTAACCATAAATTGTGTTTAGAATGAACAAAAATTGGATAGAACTAGAAAGGAAGACTCAGGACAGAGTGGGTTGGAGAATGCTGGTCGGGGGCCTATGCTTCATTGGGAGTAACAGGCGTAAGTAAGTAGTAAATTGTTTTTACCTCATCGAATGTGAATGGTTTATCAGTATTATTTTCTAAATTATTTAAATCCGTTGAATTTAATACACGAGTTGCTAATTTTAATTTGTTCTCTGCACGAGATAATATTGCTTCTTCAACAGTATGCCGACAAACAAGTCGTATTATTCGAACTGGTCTAATAATAAAATAAACAAAAAGAAATAAAAAAATATTCATTTGAATAATCTTTTTGATATAGTCGAGGAGAAATTTATAAATAATTAACCTTTTTAAGCAAAGATGGGTAGTGGCTAGCAGTGGAATCCAGGACGCGCGTCCTGTATAACGCGATGGCGTTTAAAGCGAAAGGTACTGGGTTCGAGTCCCAGAGTGAACATCAACTCTGAGATTCAGGTACATCCAGCTGGTGACGAGCTCCGAATAGGACGAAACGCGCGTCAAACTGGATTCCACTACTAGCCACTATCCATCTTTGCTTACAATGCTTGTGAATTAAGGAAATATCAAGGCAATACGCACAGTATACACATATACCAATTAGAGACTGACCAGTTGCAGTCCTAAACAACGATGGTAAGATTCAAACAAGTAATACTAAATGAATTAACCTTTTTGATGAGTGAAATAATGTATTGTAAATGACTAGATTTCCTTTGTGGCTAGTGAATCAGTCAGTCATACATCATGTAAAACTTGATATTTGTGTACATTAGTACCAGTTACCACAGCAAATTAGCACAAAGAGATGAAGTTGTCAAAACAAATACTAGAGTGATAGATGTAGTACCAGTATTAGCGGTAATAGAAAAGATTAAACATTTAAGATACAATTAGAGAAGAAAACCTCAATTGTTGGCACAAAGAAAGTTTATGAAGGATTTAGAAACGTGGGATTTATATGAAAACAAAGAGAGAATTCACCTTGGTTTTGTGAACAGTTTTGAGCCATGTTGCACAAAGTTACTACTAAACATTGGTTTCAATGGTTATGTAAAACTCAACCAGGTAGTCTGAATGTACTAACAAGACTCAGTCCAGTAGCAATTATTTTCGTGAACTGATGTCATGTCTTGATTCGGCAGTCCTTAACCTTTTTCCAGTCTACTGCCACATCAGCCATCATCGTACATTCACATAGTCGGTGAATGGACATACTTGATACATGTCCCAACCATCCTCAGTCGATAAAGATTCAATACATCGTCAATTGATTTACTTAGTACTACGAGTCTAACCTCAGAATCACAATCTCAATGCTCCAAAAAGTATACGAACGGTGGTTCGAAAATATATATGATCGAATATCCTCTACTTTTGAAGGTCATGTTTCACATGAATAAAGTAGAATGAAAAGGACTGCTACATAGTAAAATCGTCCTATACTTTGGAAATGGATAATCAACATAACCTAATCTATAGGGGCACAATTTTGTGTAGATGTAAAAAGGGATATATATATATATATATATATATATATATATATATATATGTTTATCTAATTATGTATTTATTTTATTAATACTTACTTTTTCTGACCAATACGATGAGCACGTCCTGCGGCTTGTACATCAATTTGTGGATTAAAATCACTATCAACAAAGATAACCGTATCAGCAGAGACAAGATTCAAGCCCTGACCACCTGAGATATAAAAGAAGATTCAGAGATATTGGATTTGTAGATTATTATATTTGGGGGCCGAGTGGATGCCCTGTTAATGTATAAAGTGATAATATCGTCAATTAGAGAGCAGTGAATGACCGATTGGACCAGTGGTACACAAAAACCGTGCGAGCAGTCTAGAATACTTATCGGTCCTGTTTCTGCCTAGCCCAACCAGTTAGGTTCAGAATAGTCTCTGTGGTATGAATCCTTGTATTTCAAGCATACTGAGTTTATTTACCAAACAAACAGATCACATCGTACCATAAAATAGAAAATAACATTTGTACAAGATTTGGCCGAAAGTGGATGTGAATAGGGGGAACAGTAATCAATAGACTAGGGATAACTCAATAATGGTAAATTGTATAATAATAGTTCATAAGTCAAAATAAAGCTCATAATAAGGGGGACATGTATATGAATAGTTTAGTCATTTAGTAGTTATACGATAGAAAAATATATGCATAATATTGGTTCATAAATGGATCCCAAAGTTAGCATTCACTATAGTGAATTATATGTTTATGCCCATATCCACTTCCTACCGACAATATTTCAATGAAATTCGTTTACTGAATTTGTTTCAAATGATCAATAGGCTGAAGAAATCTACACATTCTTAAACTTTTAATTAAACCTCTCCATTTCTAGTATGTCAAATGAGTTATAAATTTTGAATAAGTACAGATTTCTGCCAGATCCTACATATTTTTAATGGATGAATCGATAATGTGGAATGTGTGCTGTGTTTACGCTTACTTCGTGGGTTTAAACGACGTATCTCATCACTACACACTGGTAACCATATTATAAACAAGCTTGCTATTGATACATTTAGTGATATATGGGTGTGCTTTTTTAAACTCAATACTGATGGAAAGGATTGTTTTAATTTGCCTAGTAAGACACATTAGGAAAACAAATTATTTTTATACCACGAAACACAGTTATCACGCAGAAAGTAAACATCTGATAGTTTCGTACGCGAATAACCACGCTTCTTCAGTGTTCTATAACAGTATAATATCTAGCACTTTCGAGCATCTTCCCCACTCATTCAGTGTGTCACTGATGTACATGAAAATTCAATTTTCACTGAGAATTTAAATTTTACTTATCTCAAGCTATCTATATACATATTCTGTGAATACAACAACACAGTAGCGCATTCCAACTAGCCGGATAAAAAAAAGCTAACAAAATGGAAGTTACAGTTTGAAATGAAGTCCCTTAATGATAATTATGTTCTTATATACAGGACTCATCGACTAAATGAACGGAAAAAAAATGCTATATATATTACACACATGCTAAAAATTGAGCATCAGGATGCGCTACAAATTCACGGGTACGTATCCTATCTCACAATTTTTACCATTTTTAATTAAATTATGCCCCCAAATGCATTAGTAAGGCTGAGAGTGAAGAGAGCACACTCTCCCTCTCCAAACACTCTCTCACATTGTCACGCGTATAAAGCCTCTGCCAGGGAAGTCCTATTCACTGCCTTCTTGCACCACGGGTGTTTTTTTACGAAATTGAGAGGACGAAAAGTGAATGTCCAGCGCTTTAACCGGGTTAGTAGACAGGGAAAGTTCACCTAGGGGAGTTGGAAAACCCTGATTTCAAACCAATGGTGCACATGGACTCAAATGAGATTTGTGTGGCGCATATCTATCTGGTGCCCATTTGTACCAATATTTATGTGTTTAAATAAATAAATAAAACAATTAAATTATCGTCAATGTGAAATAGAAGAAGAATATTTTCACCTGCACGAGTACTAAGTAAAAACACAAATGTTTCTTGATCTTCATTAAAGCTTTTAATAGCTTGAAAACGATCTTCACCACGTACTGAACCATCTAAACGTTCATAACTATAACCTATGGTAATTAAAAGACAAAAAGGTAGGAAAATATTAGTCCTAAACATCAATGGGAAGATTCAAACAAACAATACTAAGTCTAATTTAAACTTCACCCCATTGCACAAGCAAGTGGTTATCAGGACTCAGTGGCCGAGTGGATAACGCGATGGCGTTTGGAACCAAAGGTACTGGGTCCAATTCGCAGAGTGAACATCAGCTTTGAGATGCAGGTACACCCAGCTGACGAGTCCCAGACAGGACTAAACGCACGTCAAACTGGATTCCACTGCTAGCCACTATCCATCTTTGCTTATCATGTTAGTAACCAATAGCTGAAAAAATGAAACTATTTTCCTTAGAAAAAAGTAGATTAATACAAGCAGAAACAAGATTACAAATAAATAAAGTATCTACTTGAAGATCCTTTTAATCATGTACTGCTAACAACAGCTGAATAATCATTGAAAACTAGAAATAATCGGACAAAAGGTTACGCTGTGTTCACAACTCATTACCAATACACAGAAACGGAATAAAACTTAAAAATGAGTATATTATCTTTTAGGATTCTTAAGTTAAAGGATGAAATGGTGACTTTGAGGTCAAGGCATTTGACTTTTAGCCACTAAGTAACAGGTTCGAACCCTGCACCATCTACATCAGCTTCAACTATCGCTTAATATTACTAACTCTCATAATTAGAGTGTAGCCAGAAGAGGAATACTAATTTAAAGAATCAGTGAATTGATGTAATTATTGGTTAGCTTGTAATCATGTGTTGTTTCTTATTATTCGAATATTTATTTATTTTGAAAGAAAAAATAGAATTTAAGAGTAGTTCAACCTATCTATTTCATCAAATATAAATACGATTTATGGTCTACATTAAGACTCTCCGATAAAGGACATTAACGAATTAGAGAGGTACGGGACACTTGGACTTTAAAGATCGTGTGGCGCGAGTACTATCTTTTAGAACATTCAGTTAGGATTTAATAGTTTACATTCTATGATGAAACTATCCTCGCAAACCTCCTATGATGACAATAACCAAGTGCTTATTAGTGACAAACTCTGATAATTCTTTTCAGAATTCGAATGAGAAGTCGTAATCGGTGGAGTAAAGCACATATCACTAATGAAAATAGATGATGGTTATGCAAAACAGCGGGTTGAATGTAGATGGAGATATGAAACCTTAGACACAAACTCAATGATTCGAAATATAAAATAAATACATAAATTTAAATCATTCACCAGGTACAAGGGTAATAGTCAAACTCTAAGTGTGATGACTAACGACATTACCCGCTACCCGAAATCGAAGTAGGTGGGGCGGGATCTAGTGGCCGAAAGTTGGACGACTTAACCGTTGATCGACCGCTTTTAAATATAACGTAATTGATACATGGTGTGAAGGTACTGGGTTCGACCTTTAGCTGGATCTTAAGAGGGTTTCATTGGAGAGATTCATGATAGGAAGAAATAGGGGTAGCTCATATGTCGTTCATAAATTATAGTCTCATCTTGTAAAATTCATTAATCAAAAATAAAATCTATGTTTTAAAAAATTCGGGATACAATTCTCCCCCTCGAAGTGCAAGACGTTACTTCGGGATCGGGTTGCATAGGCACCTGAACTAATGATAGGAAGTGAAGTAGTTGAGCGTGTTGGCCGCTTCACTTACCTTGGGAGTCTAATCAGCCCTTGTGGTCTGATGTGACGAAATCTCAGCACCGATACAGAAGGCTCGTCTAGCTTTCACCAACTTGCGTCATTTATGGCGTAGGCGAGACATCCGTCTACCAACCAAAGGACGGGTTTACTGTGCAGCAGTTCGTCCCGTCCTACTTTGTGGCTGTGAAACATGGCCGGTAAGAGAAGAGGATATTCGTAGGCTACTAGTATTCGATCACAGGTTTCTTCGAAGCATTGCTCGTATATACTAGGACCACCAAGTAAGTAACGCAGTTGTCAGGAAACGGGTACTAGGTAAAGATGGAAAGTCGATTGATGAAGTAGTGAAACTTCATCAGTTGAGATGGCTGGGACACTTGTTACGTATGCCCAACTACCAACTGCCCCGATATGCAATGTTTCATGGTGTAGGAGCAGGTTGGAAGAAAGTTATGGGCGACCAGACCAAAACTTGTCACAAATCCACGAAGTCACTGACAATTGGACTGAGCCTTGTTGGTAGGTGTAGACTACCTGGTTGGGATTCGTGAGATGATAGCAGTCGATGGTTAGAGACCTTGAATGACATGGTTCAAAATCGTTTGCAATGGCGAAGGTGCATCCACTCTTTGTGTTCTCCTAAATTCTAATCCCTATTTTTTTCTCTTTCTAAATTTATTTCACTGGATTATACTCCTTGAATGACATCTCCAAACCATAATATTTCTGATTACTGCTTATACTATTACTACCTCCACGACTATGGGATTTGAATGGACAACTGCATCTCTGTGTTAATGTGGTACAGCAACTCGAACTGATGTACGTGCGTACGAAGTTCTACGTTGTGACTGATTGACTGACTGATTAAAATCAATTGAATTTCCTACAATTTAATGTGACTAACTTTATTGATGGGTAATAATTTGCAGACAAGAGTACATACCTCTTAAAGTCAAATAATCCTGTATAATATCAAGCATACGTGTCATTTGAGAAAATATTAAAACTTTATGCACAGGTTTTGATTTAGAAGGGTAGGATGATTTGTCCACGTTAGAATTGTTGGGATTATATAGAAATTGTAAGAGAAGATCCAATAGAAAGAGTTTTGAACTTGCTTGAACTAAATGTTCACCAAGAGTGAATGGTTCTGGTTCAACACCTAATAGAGATAAATTAATAACAATAGAATATAATACAATAAACACCTTTTTTCATGAACATAACGGTGAACTCATAAACTGAAATCAACTTAATTGGACATCGAATGTGTAAGTATTCAATGAAGGGGGGTTCCAAAAATATCCCTTCCCAAAGTCTTTATAAGTACAGAAAACGGCAGGATATGTTCTATCTTATCAGCATTGAATAAAGTCATCTCAGAAATATCTACGTAAATGAAGGACCATATATCAGGTTTTTGATTGAATAATTAGTTATGCTGTTGTTACATTCAATATACTTTGAGAAAGCTCTAGAAGATCAAAGTCACGTTAAACTATAAATAATCTTGATTTTCTAGGAGTAAATTGCTTACTCATAACACACTACTTTGTCCACTGTTCTTGTTAACGTGTATAAATAGTCTAGAGTCTAGGACATCAGTAATGAGCGTTCCCAGTAGCAGACTTATCAATAAACGATACCATTTACAACATAAAACTGATGTCAGTATAAGATAATACAATAAACACACATTATACACGAACTGAGGTTATGAGAACTTTACTTTGAAAGATTCAGGGAACATCAATTTTAACCTCTCCCTCCTATATTTCACAATACTCATAATTTGTGGCAGTACACTTGTTTCATCTTCATTTCCACTTCTAAAAACATAATTGGAAGTTCTCGGAAGTCTAGATTTTTAGTTGCTTTTGTTGTTTAACATTTTACTAACTCTATACTGCCTGACTTTTTTTCTCTTATGATCATTTTGCAGTTTAGGAGCAACAATAAAATCACAGGAGAATGATTCAAATGAGAAAAGAGCGTGCTTTAAAGTTGTGATAGGACTACAGATTAAAAACTCACAAAGACAATCACTATGTTCATGAGTAAGGATTTATTTTCATATGCTAAAATAACTGATCCCAAGGACGAATAACTAGATATGAGTGAATCCTAAAATATAAAACAGTCGTTTCACTGCCTAGAGATAACATTATCAGTTATTTTCACTTGGTGTTGTTTACTTGTAGCTTCCCATTGTTATTTAGGACTGCACAAGCAAGTGGCTATCAGGACTCAGTAGCTAAGTGGATAACGCGATGGCGTTTGAAGCGAACGGTATTGGGATCGGGTACTAGAGTGAACATCAACTCTAGGATGCAGGTACATCCAGCTGACGAGTCCCAAATAGGACGAAACACGCGTCCTGGATTCCAATGCTAGCCACTATCCATTATTGCTGATTGTCAGTTATTTGTTTACAATCATTGTGATCAAATGTATTTAACTGACAGTCGTAAATAGTTTGAAGGTTGATTATTTTTTTATTTATTTTACACTAATCCCTTAGAATCAGTAAATCAAATTTGAACAAATATCTTTCTGGGAATAAAATTATCAGTGTTATACAGATGAAGAGCTCAAATGGATAATGATTTTATGGTTATGGTACCTTGATTTGTTCAGTAGACAGAAACTAGGCTACGAAAAGATACACTTCATTTTGCCTAATTCATACATGAATAAAACGGAGATAGCCCATATATATTCTGATACGTGTAAGTCTATACAGGCTATCCGGTTGGGGTTTGTGCATTTACCGTAACCCACAGTTGAAAACTTTGAGTGACATGAATCAGAATCGTTCGCAATGGCACAGTTGCATTTACTACTTATCGTTTCTTAGCTCCTAATTTTACATATACTCTTCCTCAATTATATTGATTATAGCTGATATTTACAATTAAAACTAATACTATTACTATCTCTACTATTCTAGGATCAGTCTTGACAATTTCATCTCTCTGTGCTAATAGGATATGACAAGTTGAACTAATGCATACAAGTATTAAATTCCAAGTTGAATACGACCGAGTAATCTTATGCTCAGTCGAGAAAAATTGTCATATGACTAGAATCGATTGGGATCATCAACAGAAATATACAATATCAGAAGGGGGTTTTGTAAAGATTTTAGTAATTTTATATAGTTGAGATCATGAGTCAATTGAAGCTAGACCACCATGGAAAACCTGGAAGCATTGAACGGCCGTTTCGTCCTATTGTGGGACTCCCCAGCAGTGCGTATCCACGATCACGCCCCGCGAGATTCGAACCCAGGACCGGGGAGATGTCAACTCACTGAAGACATTGGTGAATGGTTACTTAATTTCGTGGATTGGTTGAAATGAGACACTAACACCACCGGATACCAGCCGGCTCAGTGGTCTTTTGGTTAAGTGCTATGGTGCGAAACTGGTAGGTCCGGGTTGTATTCTCGCGATACGGGATCGTGGATGCGCACTGCTGAGGAGTCCCACACCAGGACGAAACAGCCGTGCAGTGCTTCCAGGTTTCCCATGGTGGTCTAGCTTCAATTGACTCATGATCTCAACTATATAGAAATGTACAATGTTGAAAATTATATTGTCTAATGCAACCGAGTATAAAAAGTTAAATAATGATAAATTTTACAAACTAACCATCAAATAGATATGGATGATTTACACATTTTCTTAAATTCACAATCAAATTCTGTAAACGATTTTGAATACGTAGATTATTTTGTTGATCAGTTATAGATTGAAATAAATCTGTAAAACAATAATTAAGATACTACTAAATGAAAACTTTGTTTTACAGAAATAACAAGATAGACCATATATAATGACGACAAGAAAACAATTACAAAGGTCCTGGATTCGAATCCCGCAAGGTGGGATCGTGGATGCGCATTGCTGAGGAGTTCTACAATAGGACGAAACGGCCATTCAGTGCTTCCAGGTTTTCCATGGTGGTCTAGCCTCAATTGACTCACGCTTTCAACTATGAAAACACTAAATCTCCACAAAAACCCCTTCTGATAATAAAAAATAATTAAATGGAGCAAACATTGAAACAGTACATGATGTGGATGTTCTTCAAGTCTAGAGTCTTGGTTGACAAATATTTAGACACATGGAAAGATCTAACATGTAATTAGGAGTGTGGTTTTAGAACAAAGATAACATTTTGCATAACTTTGATCATTAGCACTGATTATACGAGTCGGGAAAAGATTAAGCCAGGTAAACATCGATTCTAGTGTGATAGAAATATTGAAGAACAAGAAGGGTATTTGATTGTAAAAACAAACAGAACTCCAGTAATGTTACAAGTTTCCGAGAGATTGTTGACTCCATGGAAGGATATTTTTTCATACATAAGATTTCACCACTGGAATTAGAAATTCATGGGAGGAGCTGAAATGTTTTCAGGGAAGGACGTTAATACAGATATTTCCCAGTATAGTGTACACCATGATTTCACCAGTAGACTTCAAATTTACCGACTTTCATCTAATCGTTTGTATTATCAACAAATAACAACCAATACAGTGCAACTGAGTTCTCATGCAAGACAAGGCCGATCATAATGCCACGATAGTAGCTTTGGTCAGGAACTACAATAATTTGAAGAAAAATTGTTACAAATACATCAGAATCAAATTTAGTGGAAGATTTTCGCGCTACAGTGTTTCATCCCTCTCCTCGTATATATTTTTATTTTGTTACGTCACTTTGTATTAGGCACAATTGGTTGTATCGAATTTCTTTTGGAAAAGCAAACCCAAATACATAGAATGACAAGAAACAAATAACTTTATCAAAAACAAGTGTAAACGACAACCAAAGTTCGTCCACGTTCTTTGTCTAGATTCTTCTCGCAATCAACTCTTGTTTGTGTTACCCTATACTACTTACCAAAATTCAGTAACTTGTTTCATTTACAATAAGCTTAGAGCATACGATGTGTAACGTAAAGCTAATGTGGTGTAATATTCCAGAGTATCAACATAAATTAGTAACATGCGCTTAAGTCATTATCTTAATCACCTTACTTCAATACTTGTAACAGTTACCTTCAATTTTAGTGCTTTTTTCGAATTTTTGTTAAAACGCAGTAGCTTCTACATTTTGAGCTCCTATTCTCAGTTAAGTTGTTAACAGTCACTGTTGACTTTAAACGTAGGTGTCAGCTGTCATTCGCTCTATCATACGTTGAAGTTGATCGTTCTGCAGGAGCCGATTTCGCTTTCATATATGCAGTCTTGTTAACTGCCATAGATATCTTATAAATTAAAGTTTGTGATTAATTCACATAAATTCACTTAGTATTGTTTGTTTGAATCTTCCCATTGATGTGTTAGGACTGCAACTGGTCAGTCTCTTATTGGCCATATGTACATACTGTGCGTATTGCCTCGATATGGCCTTAATTCACAAGCATTATTAGCAAAGATTGATAGTGGCTAGTAGTGGAATCCAGTTTGACGCGCATTTCGTCCTATTTGGGACTCGTCAGCTAGATGTACCTACATCTCAAGGTTGATTTCCACTCTGGGACTCGAACCCAGTACCTTTCGCTTTAAACGCCATTGCGTAAACCACTCAGCTACTAAGTGCTGAAAGCCACTTGCTTGTGCAATGGGGTGAAGTGTAAATTCACTTAGCATTGTTTGTTTGTGTCTTAAGGCTATATTAAGGCAATACGCACAGTATGCAAATATGGCCAATAAGAGACTGACCAGTTGCAGTCCTAAACATCAATGGGAAGATATAAACAAACAATACTAAGTAAATTTAAACTTCACCCCATTGCACAAGTAAGTGGCTATTGGGACTCAGTAGCTAAGTAGATAACACGAAGTTATTTGAAGCGAAAGGTACTGGGTTCGAGTTCCAGAGTGAACATCAACTCTGAGATGTAGGTACATCTAGCTGACGAGTTTCAAACAGGACGAAACGCGCGTCAAACTGGATTCCACTGCTAGCCACTATCCATCTTTGCTTATAATTCACATAAAGTTTGTAGAAATAGAAACATCTCCTAGAGAGAATCCTTTTTAAAAATGTACATTATCACGTGTATCTCGGCGGCATGATTGAATACTTCGTTAGATTTAACATCAACCAAACAACAACAGTAACAATGACCGCAGGCTCTTATCAATCATTGAAAATTTTATTGTGAAACACAACTACGCAAAGATAACAAACTAACCTGCATTTCGTGTCAATAGGACCCGATAAATTTTTGTTTGTAAACCAGTTAGTGAATGATAGATCAAAATGTCTGCACGTGGTGGTAAATCAGTTAAGACATTTTGTTTAATACGCCGTAAAAGGAATGGGCGTAGAATTTTCGCCATATCCTGGTCTGTTTCATCTTCTTGATATTATAAAAATTCAAAAAGAATCCAATATAGTGATACACATATACTACTGAATAAATTACAAAGCAAGATAGAATCAATTGAATACCACTGAAGTCAGTGAACAGAACAGAAGTATCCTACATGGTCAAATTAAATCACAATGCATTTACGAAGCCTGAAACGTGTCTATTTTTGAACAGTGTTGAAACTATAGGTTTATTGAGTGGATTTCTTTAGCAGTATTAGATTCGAACCCAGGACCTATCATTCTCGCGCCAGAGCATTTAATCGATAGACCACTGAGCCGGCATCCAACGGTGTTAATGTCGAACTTCAATCAATCCACGAAATTGAGCAACCATTCACCAATGTCATCAGTGAGTGGATATCTCCCAAAAGACCTTGTTGAACTCCACCGGTTACTGCTTCTCACTAGACCTCCAGGAAATACCTCATGAAGCCAGTCACTAGTGAGCACATGATCATTATCAGAAGGGGTTTTGTGGAGATTTGAGTAATTTTATATAGTTGAGATCATGAGTCAGTTGAAGCTAGACCACTATGAAAAACCTGGAAGCATTGGACGGCCGTTTCGTCCTACTATGGGACTCCTCAGCATTAGATTAATGGTCGAAGTTATTTATGTGATAAGATTTCATACTGATTGCAGTGATTTAAAAATTTGCATCCTTTGTTTATCGTTATCTTAAATTCTGATCACTGGATTTATTTGCTGTTTTCCACTATGTTACCTCTACTGAAATTAGTAGTATGATTTGATTAAAGCTCCTAGTATCTATTTATTGTTTTTGTATTAAGAAAAACTTAGTACCTATTTCTTCAAATTGTTGATACCCGGTCACCAAGTGCCAGGTTTTGTGAAGTTAATTCAAATAGTAGTCTGTCTAACACGTACGCGAACTGAAGTCATAAAAGCTTTATTTTACAGAATCTAATATACATCAATCCAATTCCCTTCAAATTACTCCCCATTTGTGAACAATATGGTTTTTGTATCTCTATCTTCGCTGTCTACAACATCCATCGAAGTCTTCGAAAATCAAACTTGTCGGATGTATTGTTACTTTATACATCATTCTGAACCATTGGACCAATAGAGTTCAATCATGTCAAATATGAAGAAGGTACCCACTGAAGACAATGGAAGATGGTCAGTCGATATCATAAACTGACTCCTGGCCAAGTGATCTAAAGGTTAGGCGTTCGTCACGAAAATAGAGGTTCTTAATTTTACCTTTGACGGTGTGGTCGTGGATGCATACTTCTGACAAAATATCTATCCAATCCATCAAGGTTTTTAATAGTTATCGGAATCAGATCGGTTCATGTATTCAATAAATCTAAAATGTTTTATTAGGATGATTAGGCTATAGTACTATATACTACCGAGTCAATGAGGAACAATAAAAGTTGTAACACAAATTTCGAAGAAAAGTTAAGAACTAGTGTTTCGGGGGGGGCGTTAAATGTTAGTTTGATTTCTTATCACAAACTAACATCAACTATAACACGTGAATCCTAGAAAAGATGTTCTAATCCTAACTCATTGTATAATAAGTCATTTATTTACTTTTACTGTCTCCTGATCGATGGAAACGATTAGCACCTCAACATACTTTAGGTGTAACCGTGAGAATTATGCCCAAAAACTATTTTATTTTCGGAATTCATGAATCTTTCAGACAAACAAAACCTTGGACAAAAATTGTTTTCGCGCATAATTCTTACGTTACATCTAAAGTATACTAATGATCTATGTTGAGGTGCCAATCGTTTTTATCAATCAGGAGACAGTAAAATTAAATAAATGATTTATTATACATCTAGCCCCCCTAACATAAGCTCTTAACTCTTACTCGAAATTTGCCCTACAACTTTTCTTGTTCCTTATTGACTCGGTAGTATATAGTACTATAGCCTAATCATTCTAATAAAACATTTTAGATTTATTGAATACATGAACCGATCTGATTCCGATAACTATTAAAAAACTAGATGGATTCGATAGCTATTTAGTCCTAATATGGCACTCGTCAGGAGTATGTGTCTATGACCACACCGTCGAAGATGAAACCAAGAACTTCTATTTTCGTGACGAACGCCTAACCTTTAGATCACTTGACCAGGAGTCAGTTTATGATATCGACTGACCATCTTCCATTGTCTTCAGTGGGTACCTTCTTCATATTTGACATGATTGAACTCTATTGGTCCAATGGTTCAGAATGATGTATAAAGTAACAATACATCCGACAAGTTTGATTTTCGAAGACTTCGATGGATGTTGTAGACAGCGAAGATAGAGATACAAAAAACATATTGTTCACAAATGGGGAGTAATTTGAAGGGAATTGGATTGATGTACATTAGATTCTGTAAAATAAACCTTTTATGACTTCAGTTCGCATACGTGTTAAACAGACTACTATTTGAATTAACTTCACAAAACCTGGCACTTGGTGACCGGGTATCAACAATTTGAAGAAATAGGTACTAAGTTTTTGTTAATATAAAAACAATAAACAGATACTAGGAGCTTTAGTCAAATCACACTACTAGTTTCAGTAGAGGGATTCGATAGCTATTTCGTCCTAATATGGCACTCATTATCAGTATGTGCCCATGACCACACCATCGAAGATGAAACCACGAGCTTCCATTCTTCTGACGAACGTCTAACCTCTAGATCGCTGGACCAGTAGTCAATGACAGATTATATAATAAGAATAAAAATATTATTATTATTTTATAATAAATATACTACTTACTTACTTACTTTTAGTTGAATGATTAAAATAATTTATAAACGTAGAACATAAATTTTTATGAAAATAATTTGGTGATATAAAATGTAATAAATTATATAATTCTTCTAAATTATTTTGAATAGGTGTGCCAGTTAAGATAAAACGTATTCCTGGACATGTCTACAAAAAAAAAAGAAAATAAAAAGAAGAAAGAAAAAAGTGAAAACTTTGATTATAAGCAAAGATAGATAGTGGCTAGTAGTGGAATCCAGTTTGACACGCGTTTCGTCCTATTCGGGACTCGTTAGCTGGATGTACCTGAATCTCAGAGTTGATGTTCACTCTGGGACTCGAACCCAGTACATTTCACTTCAAATGCCATCGCGTGCTTGTGTAATGACTGACCAGTTGCAGTCCTAAACATCAATGGAAAGATTCAAACTATACTAAATGAATTTAAGCTTCACCTCATTGCACAAGCAGGTGGCTATCAGGACTCAGTAGCTGAGTGAATAACGCGATGGCGTTTGAAGCAAAAGGTACTGGGTTCAAGTCCCAGAGTGAACATCAACTCTGAGATTCAGGTACATCCAGCTGGTGACGAGTCCCAAATAGGACGAAATGCGCGTCAAACTGGATTCCACTGCTAGCCACTATCCATCTTTGCTTATCATGCTTGTGAATTAAGACTACATCGAGGCAATACGCACAGGATGCACATATACCAATAAGAGACTGACCAGTCGCAGTCCAAAAACATCAATGGGAAGATTCAAACAAACAATACTAAGTGAATTGAAAAATTTGATGTTGATAATGTTTGTTTTAAATATTCAAATATACAAAGGTATAAAAACAAAAGTCTTTAAGAAATTATAGGGGGAAAAGTGCGGGAAAAAATGAAAACTCTAGTTAGTTTATATCTTTAGACTAAAAAAAATGTAGTTCGAAGATCGTGACAAATTGTTAAAGCCGGGGTTCGAATTGCACGTATTGTAAGTAGGTGATAGCTTACAACCTATTTTCGGAAAAAAATTTAGGTTAAAGATCAGTACGTCCCTATCGACAAAGGTGGCAGTCACTATAAAATATTTATTTACTTATTTAAACACATAGATATGCGTTACATAAATCATTCAATTTGTGTGACGGTTGTAATACTAACGGGATGCCCAAACTGAGGCAGGTGGTTCTCTTAAGGAGCCACACTCCAAGCCTTTGACCTAGGGGTTTAATCTACAAAACAGTAGAGTAACGTAAGATGTAGTATCATGGTAGCCAGTGACCAACAATAGGTTCATACGCCATTTGGTCCTTCAGGATCCTGGTTCGGAATCAGGGTTTTCCAACTCCCCTAAGTGGATCACTCGTATCCACCAACTCGGTTAAAGCGCCGAACATTCGCTTATCGTCCTCTCAATTTTGTAAACAACACCCCCGCAGAAAGAAGGCAGTGGGTAGGACTTCCCTGGCAATGGTTGTATGCACGTGCCCATGTGAGAGCATTTCAAGAGGGAAGTGGAATGTCTGCCAACAGAAGGATGAATTATAGAAAGGATAGGAAGGATAACAAAGAGATTGTAATAACAACATAATTGAAAGAATCATGAAACGTGTATAGGACAACTGTATGGTTTTTATATTTTACCAAGGCACTGTGTAATTGCGCATGAAATAATAAATTGATCTTCCTCACCTGAGTTCTCATTCACATTTATTATTTTATTATTTAAACACATAAATATTTGTAAAAAGGGGCACCAGATACATATGAGCCACAAAAATCTCATTTGATTTGTGTGAGGGCTGTGATACTGCTCAGGTGCCAAAACCGAAACAGGTGGTTTTCTTAGGGAGCCACACCCGGAGCCCTTGACCTAAAGGTCTGATCCATAAGACAGTGGAGCATCGTAAGGGGATGTAGTCCTATGATAGCCGGTGAACAACAATTTATTCATACACCATTTAGGTCCCTCAGGATACTGGAGCCGATGTGCACCATTGGTTTGGAATCAGGGTTTTCCAACTCCTCTAGGTGAACTTTCTGTGTCCACCGACCAGGTTAAAGCGCCGGATATTCGCTTTTCGTCCTCTCACTTTCGTAAACAACACCCCCGCCACGAGAAGGCAGTGAGTAGGACTTGCCTGGCAGAGGCTATAAACGTGTGGCCATGTGAGAGCATTTCGAGAGGTAGAGCGGACTCTCCCCACTCTCGGCCGTACCAGGGCATTTGGGGGCTCGTTCACAACAGTTAGACGAAGCAAAACCAAATATATGAATTTTAATGTACTTTATGTTAATTGTCTAAATCAGAATTTACTATCTTAATGTAACTTAAAAATTAAACTGACTTGCATAATCAACTCTTAGTTATGCAATTTGTGTTATAAAATTGTTCAATTACCGAAACCAAGGTAAACAGAATTAGATTTATACGTTGAAACCGAATAGACCAAAATTCAAGCATATCAAATTCAAAAATCTAATTAACAGTTCAACATATATATATAAGAAGACTTACCTCATTTAACATTGCATATATTTGAGTATTGGAGTTTTTAAGACGATGCCCTTCATCAACAATAACATAGTTCCAATATACTGTTTTAAAAAATGCTTCATCATTAACACAAATCTACTTATCAAGATAAGCAAAATAAAATAGTTTACCTCATAAGTAGTCAAAAGAACTTTAATCGATTTATTGTAATTAGATCGCAAGTTATGACGTGCTACTTTGTCGCCGATATAAGTTATGAATGAAATATTAGGAGCAATACTAAAATGTATGAAATGGAAAAACAAAATCTATTCAAACATTTGAAGTTCACATCTCCAATTTTCTAAAACGGAAAGCGGACATACAATCAAAAAGGTAGCGTTAGATTTCCAATTGCTAACAGCTAAAATAAAGCAAATAACCTTTGTATAATCAATAAATTAACCACAACACAAACCTGACATGTTTTACCTAAACCCATTTCATCACATAATAATCCACCATGACCTTGTGAGTCACAATTTATCAGCCAGTTAATTCCTTGGAGTTGGTATTCACGAATGACAATCCCGGTCAAGCCGAATTCCACAAGTTTTTCGAAGTTAATAGAATAAGTAGGGTTGGCTAAACTTTCACATGATTTTATCAAATAGTCCATTGAAAAGTAATATTCTGAAAAATCAAGTAGTAGATACTGAAACATGAAATTGACATAAAGGTTACAGAAACCCTATTGGACAAATTCTAACTACAAGTCTAAGGTGAAAAGAATAAATTTAAGGTACAACCAAACTGCGCAAAATACTTTATCAATAAATAATAATACAACCTCACCTGTAACCTTTCCAGAGTTACTATCGGTCTCAAGCTCGGAGAAAAGAGGGTCTGGAATGGGGTTAACAACCCTATCCCCTAAAAAAACGCCAACCAGATAAAAATTGTTTAAACCGATTAAACTCTTCCCTGGGAGTTGAGGGATCTTTATTTAGAAAAATTATGAAACCTTATGGTTACACCTGAGATTCTCTGGACCAACACCACCTCTAAGAACCAGGGTAACAATTAATATAGATATATGGAATGTTCGGACAATGCAGGAGACCGGGAAGACCAATCAAACAGTCACAGAAATGTAGTGATACAACTTGGAGATTCCTGGAATAAATGAAAACCAATGGACGCAAGTTGGACAGAGAAGATTAAATTCGGGAAAGATGCTGATGTGCCCTCGTCATGAAGAAAATACTTTGCACACACAAAGACTTGCACTGATGCTGACCAAAGACGCACGAAAAACACTTATACAATGCGAACCTCATGGATTCCGAATCATCAAAACAATAAACATTATCCAGTATAATGCACCTACCAATAATAGCAATGAAGATAATAAAGATGAGTTTTATGGGAAAATTCAATCGATCGTAGAGAATTGCCTAGGAAACGACCTGACCATCCTGATGGGAAACCTAAACACCAAAGTCGGAATGGACAACACCGGATATGAAAATATCATGGTACAACGTTGACTGGGAGAAAAGGAACGAGAATGCTGAAAGACTTTCAAATATCTGTGCCTTCAACTAAATGGTTATAAGTGGTAGTATATTCCCCCACAAACGCATACACAAAGCTACATAGGTCTCATCGCGTCACACTACAGAGGATCAGATAGATCATATTGGCATCACTAAAAAGTTCAGAAGGTCAATGGGAAAAAAGAGAACCATGAGGGGAGTTGATATAGCTACAGATCACCACTTGGTTGTGGCCATGATGAAACTGAAGCTAGAGAAACACTGGACAGCTGGAGAAACAGTAGTACAAAGGTTCAATACAGCCTTCCTACGGGATACTAACAAAGTCAACGAATTCAAGATAATTCTCAACAACAGATTCCAAGCCTCACAGGATCTCCTGAAAGAAGAAACTACGATAGAGGAAAATTGGAAAGGGGTCAAAGAAGCATTAACTTCATCGCGTCAGGAGGTTCTGGGTCGCAAGAAGCATCATCATAAGGAATGGATCTCTATGGGAACTCTGGACAAGATTCAAGAAAAGAAGAACGAGAATACAGTAATTAACAACAGCCGAATAAAAACAGAGAAAGTCAAGGCACAGGTCAAATACACTGAGGCAAACAAGTAAGTGAAGAGGAGAATTAGAACTGTGTGATACGACAAAGAAACTGGGAGGGAAATACGGCAAATCAGAGAGACCAGTCAAGGACAAAGAAGGCAAGACAATCACCGAGATTTAGGAACAGAGGAATAGATGGGTGAAACATTTCGAGGGACTGCTGAATAGACCAGCTCCATTGAATCCACCGGATATCGAAGCCGCACAGATAGACATCCCCATAAATGTCACTTCACCAACGATAGAAGAAATCAACATGGCCATCAGACAGATCAAGTGTGAAGAGGTTGCAGGATCAGGCAACATACAAGTAGGGCAATGAAGTAAGAAATAGAAGTAACTGCAACAATGCTCCACGTTCTATTTGGGAAGATTTGGGAGGAAGAACAAAAACCCATAGACTGGAAAGAAGGATACCTCATTGAGACACCAAAGAAGGTTTGAGCAAATGTGAGAACCACATAGGCATCACATTAGTCTCAGTACCGAGAAAGATCGACTCGCGAGGAGGGGGCTGGTTTTTGGTCCGATCGAGGATGAATTGGTCATATCTTCACTCTCCGCCGAATATTAGAACACAGTCATACTTGTCATAGGCCAACAATCGTAGTGTTTCTTGAAATAGGAGACACTTTCAACTAGTTGGATAGGATTGTTCTCTGAGATTGCCTATTAAAGAAAGATGTCCCTGAGAAGTTTATTAACATCTTGAAAGGTTTATCTGCTAACACCTCGGGCAGAATGAAAGCATAAAACCACTTCTCTCCATTCAAGCAGTGGGTTAGGTAGGGTTGCAAAATATCACCATTCCTCTTCAACTTTGCCATCAATGACGTTCTGGAAATAACCCTGATGGATGTAAGCAATGGTGGTGTGAATCTGTGGTCTGGCGAAAGAATTTCCAATCCTGAGTATGAGAATGATATTATCTTACTGTGCGATGATATCCAAGCCATGCAATCTGCACTTAATCTGTACTGTATCTGGCGTCTCTTTGTACTAATGTTGGTATACAAACAACCATAAATAAATAAAAGAGTACCAAGAAAAGTTTAGAAGAGTGTTATTGAACCGAATTAAATGTTCAGTAGTCACTCAACTTTGAGATCAACAGGTTGAATTCCGTAAGGGTCGATCATATATAGACCAAATCATGACACTACGGATCATTGTTGAACAGTCAATTCGATGGGACTCGTCATAATACATCAACCTCATTGACTATGAGAAGTCAATCGATAGAGTTTATAGCAGAACCTCTTCGACACTATGGTGTAACTGAGATCTTCAACATCATACGGAACTCATACGACGAACTACATTGCAAAATCGTTCATGGAAGACAGCTGGCAGAATTGGTGTCAGACAAAGATTCCTACTCTCACCCTTAGTCATTCTCCTGGTGTTTGACTGAATTATGAAGACTCCCCACACCTCAAGTGAAGCACAGAATACAGTGAACAACTTGGATAAGGATTGTGGAGATCAAACTGAATTACGAGGCAAGGCCTAACTTGGAATCAAAGCAATAGGCAAAGAGGCAGACCAAAGAACATATTGAACCAAGAATCGAAAGCAGACATCAGAAGAATAAATAGCAACTGTAAACATCTGGAAAGAAGAGCCTAGTACATAGTACGTCGGAAACTGTTGGTCGGCAGCCTACGCTATATGAGGTGTAACAGGCGTAGGTAAACAATAATACAGTCACGAACCTGAGCCAAAAGCATAGTTCAATCCTAAGTACCAACAACTAAATTGGATTTCATAAGTAAAAAAGCAAACAGGCAAAAACATGAAAAATAAGAAAATTGAAATTATGAGGGTGAAGAGATGAAAGGTAGACTCCATGTTAAATAGTTGCAAATAATTCTAGATTGGTTGAACAACCAGTTAAATTATCGGTGGGATTAAACTATACTGCCGAGCCAATCAGAAGCTTTCGCGGGTTTTCAAGGTCACGGCGCTAAGTTCGGTACCTGATGCTTACGTACGGTTAGTTTACAGCGGATTTCAGGAAAGATGTGATAATTTAGCTTCTACAATAGAAGTGATCATAAGATTTTGGCGCGAACTTCAATTATCCATTTGGATAAATAGAGTTTTGGCATTATAGCTGATGTCAGTTCGTGATGAAAACCCTAAGTATAATTCCTAGCCTTAATCATGAACTGTAAATCATAATTTGTATTCTTCACACAGGTTTATAACCACCATTTGGTTTTAGTTATTACGTTGACACTCTCAGAGTCACTCTAGCGTCGCTCAAAGGTTGTCCATAACTTATAGTCTCACCCATAACCCTACACCTAAATCTTAACCCTAACTCGTAAACCATACCAATATACTAACATTATTGAAGCTATGTGGTCGGGGCTAAAAGAATTTTTGAGACCTTATCACGGTTTCAGAGGTCGACTACTATGGAGCCATATGGATGTGTTCCTGTACCGTATGCACTAAGATTTTAAAACTTCTGAACCTATATCTGACCTTGAGAAGTTTTTGACCCATGTAAAAGAAGTGTTTCCACTTTAATTCTTTGGTTTTGTATAATATATTTTTACTGTATACTAACTGTCTTCTGATTGGCTAATATTTCTCAAGGTCATTTAAAATTCGTTCAAAGGTCGGCAGTATAGTTTAATGTTACCAAATTATCTTCAAGGTCTCATTGTCTCATATGGGTTGGTTGACAAAATCACAGCGGATTCAAAACCCTTGTTTTGCCTTCAAAAACCTGTCCGACAAGTGATACATGCGAGATACAAGACTGTCATTATTAGGAGAGTAAAATGCACAGAAGAATGAAGTACTGGTCGCGTGTGATGGAATGCTGAGACCATTCGGTGTGATGCGCTATCAGCCGAAATAATTGAGACGGGTATCACTTATGTATAATGAATTCTAGGCTCGAATACGAGTGTTGGTTTAGAAAAGAAGAAGGTTTCAAGAAAACAACACAGACGTAAACAAAAACATGGCATATGTCGATGAGATCAGTGACATTTGAGTTGAGCAATGTTAGCTGAAATTACACGAAACTTTTGACGTACTTGTGGACAATGAGTGATACTTTAAATGCATTTTACCTTTAATTCCATCTGAATCTGAGTTTCCGACAAACCCAAATACAACTACTTCTTAAACCACACTTCAGTATTTAAAAAACATCATTAACACTGTAACCGGTGCGATGTCATGTCCAACTAACTTTCATTAAGTAAAATTGCATGATTTCTTTCTTAAAAACCGCTTAGTGGATAAACATCGTCAATTCGTTGCCTAAAAACTAGCTCAAGGTCGTTCCAACCCTTCAAATCTATGAAACAACCCTGTTAAGAACCAAGGAAAATCAAATAACAAAGTCTTAACAGCATTTTGATGGTCAGTAACAGTATTTTTTAAAACGCGAACTTAAGACAATTTGAAAAAAAGGGTTAAAAGTATCATTTACTATATATCTGTAGCTTCGACCCTCAATTTTTAAAAAGACCGCGCATTTTCTGAGCTCTTCCAGTATCCAATAGCTCGGATTCCGACACAAATGGTTGCGTAAAAGACTGAAAATCCTCCCTCGAGAAGATAACTCATATGATAAAAAGGAATCCTCATGCGAACTTACATATTTAAATTAGTTTTTGAATAAACCTAAAGCCCTAATAACGGCCTATCGTTATTGGAGTGATGTTATTACATCAAAACGCATCGTTCTTTGAAGAAAATCATCATTATATACAAATGGATACTCATGATGTAGCATTTAGCTTGTTTTCACTTTCAGATGACCGGGACAAAAGATGAACTGCCATATGATTATTATAAGTACTCGAATTACTGCACCAACAATGAATTTCTGAAATTGTGCAATTTACAGCAAGTAGAGCTAGATGAATACAAATTAATGTATTGCGTTTTTAATTCGTAATAAGCTGTTCATAACGTACAAAGTAAATCATTAGCTCATGCAAATGCAACAACTACACTGTGAGAAAGGTCAAATGTACTTAAGGATGAGTAGTTATTAAATACCTTACAAAAGAACTATTAACTGAAAAATATTATATTCGGCTACATTAATTTTTTGAAAGGATTCGTAGGTAGATTGAATCAAATGATATTATTGGTCATGATGAAGCCAACCACTATTTTTTAAGAAAGGATGTAAGATTACAAACCATTGAATGTTCAAATTTTGTTTATACTTAAACTGTATGCGAACAAAACATATATTGAAAAAACATCCGTCCGCTGACCGTTACCCGTACTGAGTTGCAGATTGAAACGAATTTCAACAATGAAATAGCCTACCCTTAAGTACACGGTATTGCCACTGGAATAAAGGACAAGTAAAAAATAGTAATCTCCCTTTACAAAGTGTCCAGAACAGTTGAATCATATCGAGTTTGAGATTTCGATTATTAAAAATGGTCTGCGTAACATTTTTGGCAGCACACTATTGTCCTAATCACGATAAAGAAAATATCGATTTGTACTGAACTGCTCTGAAACATCAGTTTTACTCTCAGTAAGTTCACTTTTAATTTGAATCCTGTTTCCATTTCCTTGGATTAGGTATTAGAGTCAGTTTACTGTTACCATAACAAACTTACCGGGTAAATAAGCTTGACCTTAGTCTCGCAAGGACGGTCCTAAAATTACAAATGATTTGATCGAGGAGATCATAATTGCACTGTTAATATTGAGTGACCGATGATAAACAAGAAAAACGAAACAACTCTCGTACTCATGATTGGCGTAAGTGAGTGAAAAATACTGCAAAGATGACTGATGGTAATACAGACTATTTGAGTTTATCGTTGGTTTGGTGCAGGTGGTCGCCATGTTAAACGATGTCCTCTTTATGCTTAAAATCGGTGTTTGCTAAGAATAAACGATTGTCTGAGCACAGTTGCAACAGACTTATAAACGAGACGGCAATTAAAAGTCAAGTGTAAGCTAGATTATCTCCGGAAAAGACAGAACTCGTATCTGCTCTCTGCCCAGACGTTCAGAAAGAGTGGAACAGTTTAGCTGGCCTTCAACTACTCTACAGTTAATCACCATGCTCAGACAGTCTAAATGGAACATTGAAGTTAGCTCCTTACTTGTTGGCACCTTACCGCCAAAAACGGATATCCATGGGATAAGTCGAGGTGTGCATTTTTAGGGTCGACCTTTTGTAACCACACCCCTCCTTGTGGGAAGTCAGCATTAGTGTCATGCTGATTGTCCGAAGGGAACATTTTACTGCCGTGACACCCCTGTACAGTCAACAGTACGACTTCGAATTAGCTGCGTTTAGCCTTACCGCTGTTGACAAGAATCAACTTTAATGAGATCAGTCGGAATAGAGATCGTATCTCACACCAAATTCACCTCACTGATGCATTTTCTAATCTAACAACATATAAGTGACTGCTCACGGAGATTCAATCGACTAGCACTGCTTCAACTCTAGCGCTTAATGCAACATTAAAGTCAGTAGGCATGTAGGGGAGCGGACTCTCCCTATCCTTGGTCGTACCAGGATAGCTTGGAGTTCCTGAACTATAACTAGGACTAGATATAGATAGCGGATTCGAATGGCAAACAACTGAATCATCACCAGGAAGCACGTACACCCACCTAGTTTAAAGTTAAAATGATTAGATAGTTTAGCAAGATACTTGCATAACTGTTTTAAAACGTCTTTTTCATTTACCTAGTTCCTTATACCACTGCCGATGACTAATTTGGGATTCGTCACGAAGTAATCCCAACACATTGTGCTAATGTGGAATGTCGAATATGTTGATTATAACTAACTTAGTACAATCGTATCGCAGTCTAAATACAATGTTATCGAATAGAAAGAATACATTTATGGAGGTAAATGGGCATTTTGTAGACTGCAACATAAGTGCAATGCAATGGAGAAACAAAAAATATCCTAAACCAGAACTACTCTCGCTTGGATTCAACTCTGCATGTCACGCAGTAGATGATTTGACTAAAATATTTTGGGGAAAAAGTGATACAAACCTAAACTGATGACGATAACGTCTGGCAAGTGACGATTATAACTCACAAACACAACAAATAAGGATGCATCTAAAAAGACCCACAAACATAATGAAAGACATGTAAACTTCGATTAAGTGCTATTTTCGATCCTAAGAATGTATTTATTAGAATAGTGAATGAAAAAATGAACAGAAAATTGTTTTTAAAAACTACCGACCTTTCTATCCTTAAAGCATGTGGTGGTACCGTCAACATTGTGAAGTTATGCCATTGTCTTTTAGCATGCAAAATAGTCAATGAACAAAGAAGCAACTAAAAACAGAAATCAATGCATTGCAATTTAATAGGTACATACATTTCATTTTGTGTGAGAAATGAATCAACAGTAATTCAGTGCACAAATAGATTATTGTTACATTAAAGATGGGGGGAAAGTAAATAGTATCTTAGAAAAAAAGAGCATTCAGTCACCTGAAATGTGATGTTAGACTTAATAACAGAATCACAAACGGTGATGGAATATGCAATTCGGATATTGTAACGTTTATACTTTTAAAAATGATAACATGTAAAGAGAGAAGGCATGAAGAGTTATTTATTTATTTGGTATTGGTGTAAGTAAAAAAATAAAAATAGAACAATGAGAACTGTGAAAATACAGAGAGAACAAAGATTGATGATACATATAAGACAATAATTCGCAAATGTTTTCAGTGTTTTACAGGCATACAAATTACCAGCAACCGTGTGTGTTCGACATGGTGCAACAACAGTGTAACACAACAGAAGTGTTTTTAAAACACGAAAAGTCTTCTCAATGTTTGATATGCTTATAACCACATACAAACTGTAAAAAGGAAGCATTTCACAATCCTATTTATCGTATCACAGTAAATCTTTGACAAAAAATCTAATCAACAAAAATGTGGTTGACTAGATTACCTTCATCAGGTTGTGGAATTGGTGAACGGACAGTCGGATACATTTGGAACATGATTGATTGAATGGAAATTGTTAAACATTTCATATTATTTATGTTATTGATTTGTTTCAACTAAATGAGTTAGAAACTATAATTTATGATTTCGTTGTAAGTTAGTGCTTAATTCTTCTTCTTGTCGTAGATCACGGCGCCATAATGTCACTTTATCTGTGAAAATAGGAAAAACAAACAAACAAAACAATTTTCTGATAAGATAATCAAGAATGAACAATAATGATAAACAGAGATTATATGATAATTTCCAGTTATTGAATTGCTTTTTTGTCTCCTCAAAACAATGTCATCAACCATATCTGATACTTTAATTTCACATATAACACCAGTTGTATATAAAGACATATTATTGACTAATAGTTATCATATTCTGGTTTGAGATATTTACTTATTTATTTGAACACTTAAATGTTGGTAAAAAGAGGCACCAGATATATATGCGCCTCACAAATTTCATTTGATTTGTGTCAGGGCTGTGATACTGTCCAGGTGCCTGAACTGAAGTAGGTGGTTTCCTTAGGGGACCTCACCCGGAGCCTTTTATCTAAAGGTCAGTGACTAACGATTGGTTCATACGTCATTTGTTCGTTCTGGATCCTGGAGCCTATGTGCACCATTGGTTTGGAATCAGGGTTTTCCAACTCCCGTAGGTGAACTTTCCGTTTTCACCAACCCGATTAAAGCGCTGGACATTCACCTTTCGTCCTCTCAATTTCGTAAACACCCCCGCTACGAGAAGGCATTGAATAGGACTTCCCTGGCAAAGGCTATATACGCGTGGTCACATGAGAGCATTTTGAGAAAGAGAGCGGACCCTTCTCGCTCTCGATCGTACGATGGCAATTGTTAGATCAGAACCATATAAATCCACTAAATGAAAAAAATGTATATTATAACGGTTGAAAGTTTTTGTTTCACTTGAGGGAGAAAATACTACATCAGAACTAGTGAGTGATGAAATTATCAAATTTTATTCAAATTTGATAAGATGTGTAATTTAGTTTTCAGACAGTCGACAAGATTGTGATATACATATTCATCTCATTGTAAGCTTCCTTTTGACCTATGAATTAATATTACATGAGTTACTTTCCCTAAATTATATTCAGTTTATTGGTTATTGTATCCCACCGTTCACAGTCACATTTGGCTTGATCTTGTACGAATATTATTTTCTATTTCATGGTGCGATAAGGTCTATTTGTCTGATATATAAACCAAGTATTTTTGAAATAAATGATTCGCGTAGCAAAAACTGTTATTGGTGTTCTGCACTCAACTGGAAGGGTTAGGCGGATGAAGGACCAATAAGGACAATAGACTGCTCTTTTCGGTCGAACGTCATTGATTTGACAGTGTTATAATCAGACAAGTCGTATTCCGATTGGTGGACAAGTCACGTGATCAAAAGCCGGACATAAAATCATAACGAATTAGATACGGCCTTCTTATTTTACAGTGATATCAAGCAACATAGACGACAAACTGATTTCCGATGAGTAAATGTTGTTATATTTTTTGAACTGGATTGTGTAGTTGTGATACGGAAGGGTGACTAATGAAAATAAGATGTAACTGCCCAATAAACTTGAACAGATAGACACAGCTAGTTGACTAGTTAATCTGTGATTTTCTTTCTTCTTATTAATTTCAATTCGGAACTAACTCACTGAGTGTAAACTGCTTGTAACTGTGCTGAGTAAAGTATTGTCTCGTTTATACTTTGATTCTCTATATTTGATTGCAAATCGCGCATCTAATTGATCAAGAGCCTAGCCTTTTCGAAGTATCTAGTCCACGGATAGTAGAATCTCAATCATAAGCTCTATTATTGAGGTAAACAGAATTTATCTTCATTCAACAGTTATATCAGAAGCATTCATCAACGTTTTAGACATCATTAACGTCAACTTCAAATACAATAAAGCATCAAATAAAACCACCCAGGTGAAGTGAAAATGACAGTAATAAAATTAAGGATAATAACGAATCGATGATTAACAATATATTAACTTGCCTTTTAAAGAGGATAAAACTTTAATTTGTTTACCAAGTAGATATTCTAAACGAGCACTGTATTCTGTTACAGGAAAAGGATAAACAGTAGAGAGATGGAGTAAGAGTAACAATTGATTTTACAATATAACAGAAATTGATATTCGTGGTGATACAACACAACCAATAACAAAAACGGTCAACAGTAAATCATCAAATAAATGAATAATAATGGCCTATTCATAACGGTACAACGAACAAAAATGGCAAGTTTATATAATCTATCCAAAAGTAGGCAAACAGATATTGGTGAAATATGAACAGAACTAATAAATGGTTCTACAAGGGTGACATCACATTTATATCACGGGCAGTAATAAATGGAAAAACAAAAAATAAATTCTAGACGCGAGAACATTTGGAAAATAGTTGATAATTGCAACATCACAGTATTAAGGTAGCGGTTAAGATGAATGGTTTTGGTGTTATTTCGTTTGCTGAACTGAATGATGTTGTTCAGAAGAATCATGAAAGCTTCACGACTAAACTGCCTACTTAAAAGAGAGCTAAAGTACACTGACATTATAACAATGTGACTGTACATCTAACAGTGGTTGTTTACGAGCTTGTCATCAGACAGTGAGATTACCGTTCTTACTGATTAGACTTAAACTCTTGAAAAATCCATGTGATTGCGAATTACAAAACGGTTATGCGAAGGCTAAAGTGGGATGACATAGAAAATATTAAACTTGAAACAACAAAGTAGCTCAAAAGCCAGAGTTTTGAGGACTTGCGCGGATATTTCAAACAAAAGAAACGAAGATTGAACAATTAATATTTTCACAAACGCGCATACTTTCTGAACACAGATGTCTCCTAAATCTTGTAAAATAAAGTTTATGTCATGACAGTTCACGTATTTATTGAACTGATTCAAAGTTGACAAAAAGTAATGTGAACATGAAAAATGAGTAGTAGACAACGACCATCGAAAACGAAGATGCAGTAACTAGTCGTTTCGTCCTAGCCTAAGAAATCTCAATCTGCGATCGTGCAGTAATCCAGATTGATAGAAGTTAGAGATGTAAACCACTGGGTGACGACTCAATGGTTAAGCGAGGTGTCCACCACAAGAAGCCTGAATTACATCGCTGGTGGAGTTGTGGTGTATGCTAATTATGTTGGTACGATATACATAAGTAATATGTAACACAAATTGGAAGTGGAAAACCTAGCAGCACAGGATTGGAATGATTGAATCGAAAACAATGGGAACAAAGAGTAATTGTTATGGCAATAAAGGGACGATAAAGTTTGAGACAATTGATGGATCATTTGCAAATGAAACATTGAACGTATGATTTCCAAACTTTACGAAAGAACTCAGTAATTTTGTATCAAAATACAACTGGTTATCTCCGTCTGTGTTCTTGCTCACAACAGGGTCACCGGATGTACATCTAGTACTTCCTGATTTTCAATCGTTGTTTAAGATCTATCTGTGAAGTATGTTAAAGAAAACAACAATCTCCACAAATAAATCAATGTAATTGGAATACACAAATTTTAAAATCTACAACATAAAACTAACCTTCAACATCGAATTCTACTTGATTTGATATCTTGTATAAAGAATAATGCTCCTTAGTCCAATCGCTCATGGACTATAAAGACAAAATTTTAAAAAGTTTTGTTTGAAAGTGCTCATGGTAATTTCAATAAAAAAATGAAACAAAGCTTAAACAAATAATGAGTAAATCACTTCAGTGCGTAAAACTCTCATCTTGAAATTCTCATCAGTCTTAGTAGGTTTGGTAGCAGAACGAAATTTCAGGTGCCTAACCACCATTTGGCATGATATCAACTGGTGTAAAAGAAAGAAAGCTAGAGGTGACCAACTCAAAAAGTGGTATTAGTCCATGAATTTAATGACCACTGGTCGGAGTCATGTTTATAGATACCGACTACCAGATTAGGTCCAAAGAGATAACCGAGACCGGTGGTTGGTGATGTTGCGTGACGTGGTAAAGATGGATTAACTCGTTATCCTTCTCTAGATCTTGGGTTTTAGTATTCCTTTACACACACCTTTTCCTTCTAATTATTTCAGAACATATCTCAAAATTTAGTCTCAATCATTATTATTACTGCTACATTATTTTTATTTCTTCCGCATTGACCGCGCTAATTTGCCATGGTAACTTGAGCCGAAGTACATATATAACAGGTTCTACGCTGATTATGACTGAGTTTTGCGTCCCTTCACCGATGATAGGAAGTTAGGTAGTGAAAACCATCGATTGATTTGGAGTACAACCATAAACAGGAAGAGAGGGAGAAGTTTGAAATATAATAAATTTGGAATAAACCAGTGACTGTGTGTGATGATAAGAATTCGATTTCACGGAAGATAAAGCTGAATATATGAAGTAAAATAGCTAAGACTTAATACAAGTGCATCGAAGCACGATATTTCCCTTCAATTGTCAGCTGCTTCATTCACCTACACTGAACAAGTGAGCCGACAGAGTGTACCACATTGACTAAACAGTTGAAAAGGGTGCTCCTTGTAGAATTCCAACTCACCCCACTCCTTCTTGACTACTGACATACCTTACTCACCATTGGAAAGTAGCAGGAAACCAGGTTACGCAAAGCTTCATCTCGATTCCTTAAAACCGTTTAAATGTATATATCCCTCTATAGAACCACTTTGTACACAAAAGTTAAGATTTGTAAACAACGGAGGCAAATCAAAATTACTCACATGACAAACAGCTTTGTGATCATCACAAATTTCTTCTTCCATGCGTTCAATCTGATCAATAACTTCATGAAAATGAAGAACTTCTTCAGGTACTTCACCTTCCTATTGAAGAGAGCAAAATGAAGTACAAACAACACCTACAAAGGTAGATTTACAATTTACTAAGATTACTAGTAATAATAATTAGTATTATGAAATGTACACTCATTCAATCATATTGTACTAAAGTTGGTACATAATGAGTAGCACACAATATGGAACCCATTGAATACTTTATCTTCACATTACAAGGAAAAGATGATTTCATGAATCTAATTATAGTAGTAATGATAGCTGCCTCGTACTTAATGTCATATGATTGATTGTAGTCAAAAAATATATGCAATGCTTAACCTAATCAGGTTAATATTCATTCAACTTTACAATTTAAGAGGTGTGTGTGTGTGTAAAAAGACTTTAACAACAGTTCTGTTTCAATGATATTCCTTTACATTGAATAAGTGATATGGAGCATGCACATCATCACTGATGATTCTAGAAGATTATGAGAAGCAGTATTTAGAAAAGGATCTTTGAACAATACCAAGCAAAAGAACAGGTTTGTTAAGGAGGCGTGTTTATTTTTCAACATGTTAAGTGGGAAGATTACAGGATACATACATTTTCAAATTAGTGAACAAATACGCAATAAAGCAAATTTCAAACAAAAACTTACATTAGCTGATCGAAGCATAGCTAAATCACCGTCACCGCCAGCAATTGAATTGACATGATTGTTTGTCAATGTATCATTCTGCCAGTTGATATTACTAAAATCATTATTATTAGATGAAAGGTAATAATTTTTCGACAAGATATTTCCGCTTGTTCCTATAATTTATTTTTGTGGAGAGAAAGAGAGATAACACATTACTAAGTTGACAAACTCACCTATATTAGTATTTGGAGGATTCCGAAAGTTGATTTGTGGAGTCATTGTGCTTCCAGCAACAGTACAATTTGAACTACGAGATGATAACTGTGGTTGATTAGTATTACCATTTGCCGGTAGATCAGTATTACTGTTACCTATAAGGATATTTTAGTGAAATAAAAAAGAACGCAAGATACTCAATAAGAAATATAATAATTCCTGGTGAAATGTAAACCTTTAAGTATGTACACAAATAATAACACATATCTCGACTGAGAGAGGTTTTTTAAACATCAAAATTCTGAGAATAAATAGTCGCGCCCGACCAACTAGGCATTGTAATCATTGAAATAAGATTTCAAGTCTGAACACTATTTGGATGATACATGATACACTGAAAGCACGAGTGATTACTTACAAAGAATAGGAGTAGATAGAAAAACTATCTACATATCAATTAGTAAGTTAACAGTAACAGAAATGCTCCAAAAGTGGTTGCTTGCTTACTGATTGAATTAAGTCAACTTTCGACTAATACGTGATGGGTTTGAAAATCACCTACTACGATGTGCCTACTTCAGTTCACGCTAGGCGATGATTAATGTTGCTCAAACCTCAGACATAGTGCCTGTCTGAAAACTATGTAAACGAAACTGGTATTTGGCAATAATGTTAAATAACTTGTAATTAAGAGAACTTTTAAACACAAACAAAACATACTTGCTGACAAAGTTCCTGGTCCAAGTTCTTTCACCCTAAAAATAAGATATATTGCAAGGAAGTTTTTAAAAATAGCTAAATGGATATATATATTAAAACAAGGTGGTGACAATTCTTTGACGACAGTAAACCACATAAACATACGTACACACAGAACATGAGAAGAATCTTACCGATCAGCGTAACGTAGTGTATTTAATGTATGTTCACAACTGGACATACCAGGTGATATCATAGCAATCATACACGTTCGAGAACGATCTCCAATAAATGAATCACGTAGTACTTGAGTTAATTTACTTGCACGAAAAGGTAGATGTGCACCACGCCGACCAAGAGCACGAATGCATTCCTACATACGTAAAAAAAGAGAAGAAACATTTCCAGCAAAAACACTTTTCGTTGAAATAAAATGTTTCATAGGAATTTTCACTGAACATACACATCAAAGAGATCTGTAAAACTTGACAAAACATTCTTGCTGACCCATACATTCATGTTATACAGTCACATGATTCAGCTGATCATTTAGACGTTTGGTTTGACCTTGATAGCAACAAGAACTTACCAATGATCATTTTATTCAAATTTGAAGTACTAACTTCAAGCTTACAGTCTCTCCTAATACTCCCACACTAACCATGAGAATAAGTACAACACAATACATAACATAAATACAGAAAGCAACAAATCACGCGAAAATTTGTTCATGTGGTCATGTAATAGTGATTAGTCAAGAAGATAAGAAAGGAGCGTTCAATCAAATGTATTGATTAGTATTAGAAAGATACACTTAATAACAAAAAACAACTCTGTTAGTAATGAGAGAGTGTTACGAGTAAACTTATCAAACAAATACTACATAGTAGATGTAAGAAAAGGCATAGAATGGAGTCGATAAACATCTTTGTTTGTAACGAATGCCGTTAAGTACCACTCGAATCAATCACTGAGAGTAGTGTACGCAAACCAATCAAGATAACACATGAGACATTTACCACAAGTTGGCTTCAAGAGAATTATGAACTGATACAAGTAGATCAATTGAATTGAACAACTTTATCCATCAAGAAGAGATAATGAATAAAACAAAGTGAATCATGTACAACCAAGAACAAAAACAGGAAGAACAATAGAATAATATGTAATTTGGTAGGGACTGTGTGAGAAAACCTTTTACATAATAAGTATCGCAAAACACATTTTGAATAATATATGTCACAGGATAGCGCCGCCTGAGGCACTTCTACGGTTATTCCGTCTTAAGTCCGGATAACAGAGGAGAGTTGTGTATGAGATTAGTTGTCCCATCCCGTAAGAAAGAACCTTACTAAAAAAAAGCGATAACCAGATAATTGTAATGTATCCTACTCAGTTGATGGTCTCTATTTAAGATAGTTTCAAAAATAGACATGATGATATTCATGTAAGCAACTAATAGTCATATCCGACTCAGTGGTCTACACGTTATGTTTGAATGTGACTGAAGGTCCTGGGTTATATTTTCTGATGTGGAGTCGTCGATCCCTACTATTGACGAATTCCATAGCAGAACGCAAAGATCACCCAGCGCTGTCAGGTTCTTAATTGTGATTTGCCGACCAGTGCTAGATAACACTTACGTGATAAATTGATGAATATCCTACGAATATTCTCAAGATAATACCGATATCTTATACATCAAACACAAAATGTGTGCTTCACTTACCTTTAAAGCTAAAAGACTTTTGTTAATTTCAGCACCTTCCATTCGAGTATGTCGATCAGAACTACTTGTATCCACACCACGTTCATTACCCGCCAAATCGATAAGTGAAAATTTACCATGAATTTTTCCCGTAGATTGTTTTTTTAAAATCAACTAAATTTAAAATCGGCAGTGAAAAAATTTTATTTACATAATCACATGACAATTAAAAAGACAATAATTATTGAAGATTTTACAGTCAGTTTGTCATAAATCTTTTGACTTCGGTTTATACAAATAACTACTGTAAATGGAACCCAGGTTATTAAGGTGTTATTTTGAATGTGTACACACATGATTTTACAAATCGAGATTGATACGAATATATTTTCTTAGACTTGTACATTACTGGAAGATTCTTAAGCCCATTAAGTCAGTCAGTATATATGGGCATTGGTTCAAGTTGTCACACAACATTAGCACAATGAGATGGACTTTTCCAGAGAAATCTTAGAGAAATAACAGTAATAACAGCACCAGTGGTAGAAACGACTAGGTAACGAAGAAAAAAGTATAGACAAATTTTGAGACTGACGATGTAAAATACAAAGAGTGAATGTATCTACACCAGTGAAACAATCTCAGCTATATAATACAACATCTTTAACCACTCCTCGTTGTTGTTGTATAGATCCCAACCAGATAGTCTGTACCAACTTACACGACTCAGTTCAAAAATCAGTGTCTCTATGGTCTGGTGTCACGTCTATGATCAAATGCTAGTAACCTACAAATTTCCAATAAAACCTTGAACCAAACGGGTTATTTTTTCGATTATCATTATTAAGCTATTACAAATGGTGATCATTTTATTGCTCAGTTACAATCAAAGTGGACAGTGACAAAAGCTTGTATTATGTAAACATACATAAACTATAGATAATTCTGAATTGAAATGAAGTTCGTTGACCGTGAGATAAACTTAAAGCCTTATGTGATGTTACAAAACTGTGTACCCAGAATTGAAGAAATCTGTGATCATAAATATGTCCTAACAAGTTGACAACTATACCTTAAGAGTGAAAATTTCAGTTTACGTTAATTTTTGCTTACAGCAAGTTAATGTGAATCGGTAGCAAATGATATTACAGGGTTCCACAATTCTATAATAATAAGGTTTCTATTGCTTCGGAATAGATATGATATATATGCCCCCAAATGCCTTAGTACGGCCGATAGTTGGGAGAGTCTGCTCTCCCTCTCGAAACGCTCTCACATGGCTACGCGTATATAGCCTTTGTCGGAGAAGTCCCACTCACTGCCTTCTTGCACCACGAGTGTTGTTTGCGAGATTGAAAGGACGAAAAGCGAATGTCCGGCACTTTAACCGGATTGGTGGACACGGAAAGTCCATCTGGAGGAGCTGGAAAATCCTGATTCCAAACCAATGATGCACATGGACTCCAGTATCCTAAGAGAACAAATGGCGTATGAATCAATCGTTGGTCACCGGCTACCATGGGATTGCATTGTCTCACGATGCTCCACTGTCTTGTGGATCAGACCTTTAGGTGAAAGGCGCCGGGTGTGGACCCCTAAGAAAACCACCTGCTTCAGTTTTGGCACCTGCGCAGTATCACAGCCCTAACACAAATCAAATGAGATTTGTGTGGCGCATATACATCTGGTGCCACTTCGTATCAATATTTATGTGTCTACATATATAACAAGCAAAGAGAAGAAACTATTAAATTCTAATATGCTTTACTTGAAAGACAGCATGGGAACGACTAGAATGTTGATTAGCTGATGTTTGACCACTAGTTCGAATATGTGCACCATGTTGTAGAAGTTTTAAAACACAATCAACTGAATTCACTTCTTCTTCACGTAATCCAACTATTTGTACTTGACCTTTAGCATCTTCCAGTACTCGAAGTTTGGCTTTCTTATTTAACAAATCAAAAACCTATTCATAGAAGTTTGAGTGAAAGTAAACAAAAAAAACAATTATTTGATATGAACATTTATCATGTCCTAACGAAGAATTAATGAATAGTAACTGCTAGGAACTATTTATAGACTATTATCACGTATATTCTTATTGAATAACTATTAAGTAACCAGACTACATATATTTACCATTCTCATATTATAAATAAGCTTTCACTTGACCTATTGGATATTGCGATAAGACTTACCATTCTTAAGTTATTCCCAATTTATTAGTTACAGTCTCTCACACTTACAACCACTTTTGGCTTGATATTGTATAATTGTTACTTTTTATTTTATGGTGTGATCTACTTGTGGATAAACTATGTATGTCCGAAATCCATGATTCATACAATGGAGGCTGAGATTGTGTCCTGGACTCAAACGGATAGGGCCAGGGAAGAAGAACCAATAAGGACTCAGAGTTGACTCTATGTTGCTCGTGCTGGTTAACGCTTCATAGGTTTGGCACATGGCCAAGTTCGTATAAGTTGGTGTTCTGTTTGGCAATCTCATCACATGATAATTGACGGGCTATACAACATAACAACATTAGAAAACTGAAAATTCTCCCCTACCCCCTTAGTCCAATAATTAAAACGAGTTTTCTATGAGTACTGAAATTCATAATTAAATTAAATACGAAGAAAAACTGATTTTATCTCCAAATTTCATTGTAATTGAACATTTAACAACAACTAATTAAAATGAGATCATTTCAAAGCACCACAATATATTGCTTACTTACGCCTGTTACTCCCAATGGAGCATAGGCCGCCGACACAATATACTGAGATCATAAATTAAACGATGTTAAGCTAAAATTCCCTTTTATTACAATTAGATATTAGTTCTCGAACAAGTTTTAATTGATATGAAAATGAAACTTTATTTTAAAGAATTGATCAAGTCATTTTTACTTTGGTGATTTAGATGAGATAACCAAAGAAATAACTTGATAACATTTACCTATACAGAATATGGTTAATAAATATGTAAAATTCATCAATCAGTCAGTCACAACGTAGAACTTCGTACGTACGTACATTCCAGTTGTCATACCACATTAGCACAGAAATACAGTTGTCGATTCAAATTCCATAGTGGTAGAAGTAGTAAGCGTATAAGCATTATGTGAAAGATTAGGGTTTGAAGATGTTATTCAAGGAGTATAACCCAGTGAAATAAATTTAGAAAGAGAAAAAAATAGGGATTAGTATTCGGGAGAACACAAAGAGTGGATGCACCTTCACCAGTGCAAACGATTTTGAGCCATGTCATTCAAGGTCTCTAACCATCGATTGCTATTATCTCGCGGATTCCAACCAGGTAGTCTACACCTACCGACATGGCTCGCAACATTCATGGTATTGTGGATTAAGAATTCCATATTGAAATACAAATAGTGAATACTGCTAACTATGCAAATATTTCTCAGTAAGCGTCTTGGATTATGTGTAATTAAATTTATGTGAAATGATGGATATCGCATTATTACCATGAACCTATATAAATAGAGCAGTGAATACCTACAAGTTTCTGGTCACTGATCAAATCGTCAACGCATATAGATCGCTCAATTTCGTGGATCGGTTGAAGTTAGACATTAACACCGTTGGATCACGGCTCCGTGGTCTAGTGGTCAAGCACTCGTGCGCGAAAGTGATAGGTACTGTGTTCAAACCTCGCGAGGCGGGATTGTGGATGCGCACTGCTGAGTCCCACAATAGGACGAAACGGCCGTCCACTGCTTCCAGGTTTTCTATGGTGGTCTAGCTTCAAGTGATTTATGATCTTAACTATTAAAATATAGGTCTCTTTATTGATCAGGGTAAATTCTACCGTAATTAAATTCTGTTAGTGAAATGTGATATATTCATGTCCTCAAATGCCCTGGTACGACCGAGAGTGGGGAAAGTCCGCTCTCCTCCAAATGCTCTCACATGGCCACGCATATATAGCCTCTGTCACGGGAATCCTAATAACTGCCTTTTCGCACTACGGGTGTTGTTTACGAAATTGAGAGGACAAAAGCGAATGTCTGGCGCTTTATCCCGGTTGGTGGACACGGAAAGTCCACATAGGGGAGTTGGAAAACCCTGATTCCAAATCAATCGTGCACATGGCCTCCAGGATCCAGAACGAGCAAATGGTCACCGGCTACCATGGATGTGCAACTCCTTACGAAGCTCCACTGCCTTGTGAGTTAATGTTGAGTCGGCTTTCGGAGAACTTCAACGGAGCCTCCAGAGGCCCAAAAAAGCCGAAGAGCCCTAGCCAATCAGGGTATGATGGAACATTCTAGAATTCCAACGTGGCGTGCTACTATTGGTCAGTAGCATAATATGTCGTTAGTGGATTGGCTGAAATAGGATGTTGATTTAACATACGCTAACATCTATAAATACCTATGGTTTTCTGTACAAGATTAAATCTTGCAGTAAATTGTTTCTCTCATACTCGTGTCTTCTCTCTGGTGTTTAAGTCGCTGAGTAGTTCTAGCCTGTGGGTTACCAGAATAGCTTAGGAAGCGAATATAGCGTTCAATCGGCAAGACCAATCAGTTAGACCTTTAGGTCAAAGACTCCGGGTGTGGGCCCCTAAGAAAACCACCTACTTCGGTTTGGGCAACCGGGCAGTATATCACAGCCCTCGTACAAATCAAATGAGATTTGTGTGACGCATATGTATCTGGTGCTTCCTTGTACCAATATATATGTGTTCAAATAAATAATAAAACATGGGATGGAAGTATTGAAACAACAAAATATAAAACAAAGATGAAAGCAACACAAAATAAATTAATCATAGAACACAAAAACACTTGTTACTTATCAATGTTTGACTTATATATTCTTAAAACAGAGAAGTGCAATATCCTTTTTGTGAGATAGGCTTAGATATATAAATGAGGTGAAACATTTGAACTAAAAAATAATTTTGTGTAGTTGTCAACGGATTTTAAGGTCATTAGATTATAGTTCATTTATTTGTATGTAACACCAATAGGTGGTAATTAATTGTATAAACATTTCATATCATTTAACATTCAAATATATACCCATTTTAATTATACTTTTTGTAAACACACACACACACATAGAGAGTAATTTATTCTGTTCATTCAATCTATAGATAAGAGTTGTATGCAAAAACAGTTACAATTGCATTGAAATACACCTACACTATCCTTATATAGTCTTCTTATCATTTTCTTACATGAATGATCTACTTGTTATTTCTTTTTTATGACCTACACAGGGTCAAGATAATGAAATAGTGTATAACTTTGCTGTGATTATTTTGTCTTACCTCCAATAGTTGCATGGTAGTACAGTTTAATATTCATTTACATAGATGTATTATGATTAACAATATATTTATTCATAAATCAAAATGTCAAAGGTAGCGAGAATATTAACATTAATAATAATAATCCAAATTAAAAGGAAAACCAAAATATCCAGAGTAACACTGGCAACATCATTTTTTATGAAATAACTTCGTACACAAATTGAGTGGGCTATAAAGGCACAAAACCACGAATACAGCTCTTTGTTGATGGGTCGGTGAAAACAAACAGATTTTTTGTTCAGTTTATTTGGGCCCGTGAGATTGGACCGTAAGACAGGAAAGTAGTTGTATTGATCTAGTCTGAATACTAACTAGCTAGCCTTGACTGTCTACCTAATACCATTAGCACGATAAATGGGAGATAACAGCCAAGAATAACATTAAACAAACATTAGTCCAGAATTCAGTTTCCAACACTAACTCGCCCGATAGTCAGAATAGAAAACAACTCAACAACCAATCAACCTCTAAGTATACAGTTCGAATTTATGAATTACTCATAACATAAAATTGAGCAAAATCCCAACCACATATTAACATAATTAAGAAATTACAATGTGGGTACAGCCAGGAAGTAAGAGGAAGAGGATGAAGTGATGGGTTCGAGAGGCAAAACATAAAAATTTCTGTATCTAACAAAAGCTTACAAGTAGGGGAATACCAAAATACAATAGTTTAAGTTTTTAATAATTGTACAATAAGAATATAAACAATAACCTCAGACAGGAATGTTCCGAACTTTTATCATTGCTTAATATTTATCCCAACGTAGTAATGTAGGGTAACTGCAAGAATACTATGCACGAGTTTATTTTTCCCTAAATGTGAAATACTCCAAGAATGATCTACATACTCACTTATCTACTGAAGGGTCAGTATACTACGTGGTCCGCCATACTTTACTTTGGGCCCTGTTCAACCGTGCTCTGATTTGGGGACTTGTCGAGTGAAATTGTGTCCGAAAATACTAAGCAATAGGAATAGCTGGGTAGCAATAAGCGAAATTCATAACACCCCCCTATACTAATAACAATCATGTGTTCACTGATGACTAGCTTTAAAATCCAATTCCCGAAGTTCTAGTGAAAAGCTGTGACCAGTGAAGTTCAAACAAATCTTTTGCTTAGCCTTTCAGACCATACCTGACGATATTATTTTTCCTACCCTTTCGTCAACCATCTTGTCTATTTTCTATCATTATACCAGAGTGGTCTGGAAGCCTAGGCCAATATACATTTACAGCAAATTAAACACTGATTATGAATGAGTGATCAAATGCAAATGAGATGTATGAACAAGTGTGCATATTATGAAAATAATGAAAAAAGCATGGAATGAATAACTTATACTCATTAAAAATAATTTTAACAATAACAATAATAAGAGACACATACTTTCCCGCTGTATATTTCAAAAAATGTTGCAACAATTCTAAGATTCTCATTCCTATACGTAGTTGTATTCAAATCGAAGACATCAGCAGCTGATTACAAATAAAACAAAATAATCATTAAGGACTGTTATCCATGTAAATAATTACGAGGGAATAATAACAACGAAGATTTGTGGTTCATTAATGTGGTTGCATACATTGTGCATGGATCGGCTTTACATATTATAGAAATACAATTATAAGAATGAATTCATCAATGTGTACATGCAACATTGAGTAGACAGATGCTCCCTGGCAGATTTGGTCTCATATCAACAGCCTTCATAGTCATGGACATAACCACTGAACTATTTGAGCAGCGAGTGGCAACCTGTAGGACTGAGGTATATTTACAACTGGTTGATCACTGAGTAGTTACCAATGTCATGTATATCAAGTCCTTCTTATAGAAGATTGAATTCCATAGAACAAGTCGCTATGCGGCCACTAGTCTCAGTGGCTCGACATCATGTCTACTGGGTTGCACGTTAGCACGAAACCTAGGACAAATAAGGTTTTCTGTCAACAGCCTCCATTTGCTACCTAGAATCTCAATACAGTGTACGAGATGTCACTTAGACTAGTAGGCACATTGCAACTTAATTGATAGAATTCAATCAGTGCAAAGAAAGAATTTATGTGCATGACATTGATTATTACTCAGTGATCAATCAATTGTAAATGGAAATATGCCCCCAAATGCCCTGGTACGGCCGAGAGTGAGGAGTCTGCTCTCCCTCTCGAAATGCTCTCATATGGCGAATATATAGCCTCTGCCACGGAAGTCCTACTCACTGCCTTCTCGTGGGGGGGGTGTTGTTCATAAAAGTGGGAGGACGAAAAGCGAATGTCCGGCGCTTTAACCGAGTTGGTGGACATGGAGGGTCTACCTAGAGGAGTTGGAAAACCCTGATTCCAAACCAATGGTAGACATGGGCTCCAGGATTCTGAAGGAACAATTAGCGTATGAACCAAGTATTGGTCACCGGCTACCATGGGACTGCATCTCCTCACAATGCTCCACTGCCTTGTGGATCAGATCTTTCGGTCAAAGGCTCCGGGTGTGGGCCCCTAAGAAAACCACCTGCTTCAGTTTGGGTACCTGGGCAGTATCATAGCCCTCACACAAATCGAATGAGATTTGTGAGGCGCATATTTATCTGGTGCTTCCTTGTATCAATATTTATGTGTTTAAATAAAATAAAATAAATGGAAATATACTCTGTTTATTTTACCTATGTAATTATGCATGTTAACCGTAAGTGATCATGCACTTATCATGAAACCAATTACCTAAAAATCCACGTAGAATGACCATTCTTATCTGTTTTGGTTTTGATAAATGAAAAGAAACTTAAGCATCAAATATATGTAACCCTTCATCATGCCTCCCAGAAAATCTACTTCTACAATTATTATGGTGGGCTTGGCAGAGTATTTCAGAAACCCACTGAGTGCCATCACAGTTACGAAATCCTTGCCAATTTTTTTTTGGAAAATGATAAAAGGCCAATTTGCCATCAAGTGAAATAAACATTCTAACTATTAACTAAGGTGATTACCATTGAAACTAATAAAACCCTTCAGAAAAATATTCACCAAGTATAATTAAAATGATTATCAATATGAATAGTCAGAAGTTTACCTGCTAAGGCATAAATTCCATTAGAGCAATTTTGTTGGCCACGAGCATGGAATTCACCACCCATTGTATGTGTTTTTCCAGATCCTGTTTGGCCATAAGCAAAGCATGTGGCCATACCACGCTGAAATATACATTCCACTAAGGGTTTCGCAGTATACCGATATACCTGTATGATATGTAACCAAATAGAAATAGTCAATTACATAAGTCTTCTTTTCTTCCTACCACACAAATCTCATTTCATACACATTAGGTCAGTTGAACATGTTTTGTGTTATTTTCAAATTAAACATGTGAATAATCTAACAAGATAAAAATTTATCTAACCATGCGAAAATTTTGTTAGGTCAATGATTCAAACAAATAATACAATCCGTGGAGTTTCAATTACATTAATCTAAGAAACAGTGATGATGTCCAACAATTTTATAAATAGTCATTCGCAATTAAGCAATGAGTAAATGAATGTAGACGTGAAAGCGAAAATCGGCGAAGCAAGGGTGGCATTTCTATAGTTGAAGAACATATGGAACTCAAAACAACTGTCAACCAATATCAAAGTCACAATCCTCAATACGAACGTCAAGAAAGTTCTACTGTATGGAACCGAAACGTGAAGAACTACTACAACCACTATTAACAAGGTACAAGTATTTATAAACAGTTGTCTACACAAGATACTCAATATCTGTTGATCGGATATCATCTGCAACAGGCTACTATGAGAGAGTATAAATCAGCTTCCAGCTGAAGGGGAAATTACGAACAGATCTTGGAAGTGTATCGGACAAGCATTACGGAAATCATCAAACTGCATCACAAGGCAAGGGATAACCTGGAATCCTGAAATGAAACGGAAAAGAGAAAGGTCAAAGAACACACAGTGTCGGGATTTGGAAGCAGACATGGAAAGGATGAATAGCAGCTGGAAACAAGTGGAAAGGGTGGACCAGGACAGAGTTAGATGGAGAGTGGTGGTGGGTTGCTTATTCTCTTCCACGAGAGTTAACAGGCGTAAGTAAATGAATGTATTGTGTGAATTTGAAAGCCGTTAGTAGCCTACTCATCAAAGCCTACGCAGCAAAGATGACAACACACAAGAAAATAAAAACAGTCATTTTTACTGAGGACAGTGAACTATTAAAAACATATGTGATGTAACAACAACAAGAAGAATTATTCACAGTTAAAATGCCATTTGAAATGTTTTCCTACGTGTTTGAAACTCTTGTGGAAAGTGAAGCGTTTTTAGGAACCACAAAAGCATTTAGTTATAGTTTTTTTTTGGCAAAATAAATGAAATCAGCGTTCATTTACACTATGATAGGTTGACAACTAACTTTGAACTTCAGTTTTTTTCTTTCTACGATGCTAAAGCATAAAGGTTTACATAAGTAACTGAAGAGTAGTGGCAGGCAATCAAGTACACATTTGTGTTATCAGTGTATTATTTATTTATTTAAACACATAAATATTGGTACAAGGAAGCACCAGATAAATATGCGCCTCACAAATCCCATTCGATTTGTGTGAGGGCTGTGATACTGCCCAGGTGCCAAAACTGAAGCAGGTGGTTTTCTTAGGGGCCCACACCCGGAGCCTTTGACCGAAAGATCTGATCCACAAGGCAGTGGAGCATCGTGAGGAGATGCAGTCCCATGGTAGCCGGTGATCAACGGTTGATTCGTACGCCATTTGTTCCCTCAGGATACTGGAGCCCATGTGCACCACTGGTTTGGAATCAGGGTTTTCCAACTCCTCTAGGTGGACCCTCCATGTCCACCAACCCGGTTAAAGCGCCGGACATTCGCTTTTCGTTCTCTCACTTTCTTACACAACACCCCCCCCCACGAGAAGGCAGTGAGTAGGACTTCAGTGTGGCGGATATATATCTGGTGTCCCCTTGTACCAATATTTATGTGTTCAAATAAAAATAATAAATAGTGTCATCAGTAAATGATAGCTGATGATGACCAGAAACATGAGTAATTTTTACAAAACTGCAGAAGGCGGTTCCCACTAATTGAACGACTCTTCTTTGTCGCTAGACACATGAACTATCTACTGAAATCCCCAACTAATACAATATCTGTCGAACGCGCTTTGATAATATTTGATTATTGATGGGATCCATTCTTCAGTTCATTTAAGCTGCAATCTGTCGACGTATAGACGAAAACTGTGAAAAGATAGTCTCCTACACGTTTAATTGATAGAATACAACTACCATTAATGATGAAACGAATATGACAGTGGTTACTACTATCCAATGATTAATCAATTTAAAAAATCATTCGTGAAGACTTTTGTTGTATTCACGAGTATAGAGTTGTCTAACGAACTCCAAGACGATGATTAATAATACTAATTGAAAATACTAAGAATACAGAACTTACAAGTTCATTATCCGATGTATCATCAAATGCATAATCAAAACGGAATTGTTGATTTTCAAGATATTTCGTTAGATCAACTTTAGTTTTTGGTTCATGGACAAGTACATGTTGTTTATTCGGGACTGTGATCACATCGATTTCACGACGACCAAGTTCTATTAAAATTATAAATGAAAAAAATTGAGAGAACTACTTTATTTTTACAATCAACAATGCAATCAGTTTCAAAATAATAGAATTGTGTCTCATACACAAAACTCTTGATATATTGACAGTTTAACTAACTCCAAAGTTTCGACAGTTTCGATACTTGAACTTTGAAGTTTTGGAAGCATTGACAGGCGGTACTATAATTAGTCATTGTTATGCTTGACACTAAATCGATTCCGCGGTAACGAACGAAAGCCAATGACACAATGACACGATAAGCTATTCTAATCTGTTGTCCCAGGCCCCGCTAACTAGATGAAGAAGTCCAAGGCAAGTAGGGGAATATATATGTATTCCGTAAGCAGCCAAGTACAAGCAATCCAATAAGGGGAAAGTCAAGCGCATTTATACAGTAACAAATTGTCCTTGAGCATCATTAGTAAATAGCACACATAAAGAAACAATGGACCAATAGCGGTTAAGTTAGTTTACAGGTGGGAAATATGACGTAAAGGTAAAAAGAGCGCGTTTGGCGCGAAAACAGCTAAATTCAAATTTTCAAAATAAAACTACAAGATTAAGCCATTTACCAAGTAAGTTCTGGGGATTTGACATCCCCAACAGTCATAAACTTGGTAATAACTCAATCACACTTCGGAAAAGCAGCACGTGCTTCTTTGGACAGTATCAGAGCAACTCACTGAGTATGATGAGTATTTTCCTCTACGTGACCGGAGTACAACAACATCTCTCCAGTATCTAACCTTTAATGTCTAGCTTGAGTCCAATGCGTTTCGCTGATTCCGAGTACAGCCAAGTTGTATCTCTTCATTTCCTTTGCTATTTGACTGGTCCTCCCGGTCTCCCACATTGTTCGGACGTTCCATGAATCTATAAAAATTGTTGCTCTGGTTGTTAGAAAGGGCATCGGTCTTCTAACTTCCGAAGAATCTCAGCTTTTATCATGAGTCGTCACTATTCTTCCTTCAACTCCCAGGGCAGAGTATAAATGGTTTAACTTGTTTAATCTGGTTGACGTCTTTTAAGCAAGATTTTTCTACAGGATTAAATTGCCGGCCCCGTGCCCAACCCTCCTCCATTACCCAGACTTAGGAACGGCAGCAACTCTAGAAGAGCTACAGGCGGAGTTCTATAATCATTAATACATATAATTTTGGGAAGAAAATCTTAAATATGAGGGATACGATGTATTAGATCCAGACTTATGACAACATGTATAAAGTAAACAATGGCTGTGCTTCAAAAAGTATCTTTGGTTGTACAAAATGAATGTGAAGGCTTGAAGTATTAACAAAACATTGAGTCATAAAGACAAACATACGTACGGTCACAGTCTTTCGCAATACTGATCATATTAAACATGGATGGAAATGAATGATGATCGAACGATAATTCATGTGTTTTTAAAGAAAAAAACAGGAAAACTTACCTTTTTTGTTCATAGGACGTTTACGTACACAAACGCATATTTGATGATCTTCTATTAAATCTGTATTGGTTAAAGGTCTGTATTCCAATGTATTTCTATATTCACTAAAAATTAAGAATAAAAACTATACCTTATGAGCTTAGTTATCTACTTGGCGTCAAATAAACCATCTTTTTTTCAATGTTAATTAAAAATAAAATAACCGGTATTATCAAGTACCTTTCTGTTGACTTAATGGGTGAACATGATTTTTAGTGGGGGTTTTATTTCAATTATCTAAAGCTGTGAACACATGTATTCTATGAACAAACCATTGTAGAGTATCCCAACTTACCAGACAAAAAAAGCAAGTAAAGTGGAAGTTAAGACCGGAAATGAAATCGTCAGTGAAAACTGTGCTCTTATATTCAATATTTACCAAATACATGAAGTGAAAGTAGGCTTGAAAATGCTAGATATCGCACTTGTGAAAAACAACGCTACAAATTTAAGGACACATATACTATTACAATATTAAAAGATGTAGAAAGCGAAATTGATATGAAGAATACTACAACTAGCAAGAATACAAGTGAATGTAGAAGATAAATAGATAGAGGGGCAAAAGGACATACGGATGAATGGTGGTGAATTAACAACTAATTATTGTTAAACAGCTTTTTAGGATGTCAGAATTTGATCCAAAAGTCTGAAAATTACAGTCAAACTAATAAGCAGTACTTTTTGCTTTCAGTACTTCAATTAAGTGACAAAAACTCGTAATGAAACAATTTCGAAGTGTGATATCATGATGATATGAAAGGCAAAACGACGACATATTGACGGTAATTAGTAGGACAAACACAAACACAACACTTACTGGATCATCATATGAAACTCATAACTTGGATTGGTTGGGTCTAAATCAATTTGATCACGAACTGCTTTCTGGGCAGCACGTCGTTCTTCACGTCGCTGTTGTATTCGCTCGATTTCTTTCACACAATTAGACTTGCGTAGAGTTCCACTGCCACCAGCGGCACCAGCGTTAATACCAGGAGCAGTAGTAGCCGAACTTGTATTCAGTGCAGACAATGTACTATTTACAGTAGGTGCGCCTAAATTAGAATTTGCGCGACCTAAGTTGAAAGTAACAACCAAACAACTATTAAACAACTTTACACTGAGAGCGTATTGATGTCAAACTGCATCAATGTGGAAAAGTAGACGCATATGTACAAGATAGCTCCCAAAGATCAAATAACATGTATACAAAATTCACATACACAATCATAATGCGAAAATTACAAGGTGTGACGTTACCGGCGCTAAACACTTGTTGCTGGAACTTTAAAAACCAAAGTCAGATGGAGATTTTATTAGGCGTTTTTCAAGAATCCAATTAAACTCTGTCGCTGGCCAATGTTATAAAATATTGATTCCCTGCCTATCAAAAACTGTCTTTAAAACCTTCAATTGTTGGTGAAACGACATAGCGAACTGGGTAATTCAAGTCCCACTGAGAGTTATTATTTCGAAAAAAATCTATTAACTGCATTTTTCTTATTTACTTGAAAACATTTTGCTTAAGATGATTTTGCAATTTCTTCTTACTGATTATTACATTTCAAATGCTAACTTTTCACCCCCTCTGGTAACACATCGACACCTTATATTTTCCCTCTAAATTACAACTAGATTGACAGTAACAAGTTGTACTTCATAATTTTAGCGTCATAGTGTTTGCTGGGTGTTGGTTGTGTATAGTAACCGATATGACAACACAACCAATTTGATACAATATAGCAATAACTGAGATAACCGAAGTGGTGATTTTCTTACGAGATTAATGCTTAAATCTCAATTGGATTGATGTCAGAAAATAATACTCGTAAGTTAACTGATTGGACATATAATATTGAGGAATTAGAACTCTTATTGATGTACTAAGTATTACTCCATAATAAAGTAACCACGAGCTATTTACCAGATAAAAAACGACCAATCGAAAATGGGAATGATGACAATTCAAGTGATTAATGACTCTTCATTTCATCCAGTAATTCTTACTGGGTATACAATTTGCACTGTGCATTAACGTTTATCAAAACTTAACTCTGCTCATGTTTGTAAATGTGCAAAAAAGGTAATGAAAAGTTATAATCTGACATGCTCTTTTCTATTTCAATGTTTCGTACCTATCAGACGGCGAGAAACATCACCTGCATAGCCACGGTTCCCATTGATTATTCCTGATTGAAGGTTATCTTCAGTTACATCACCGATATCCTGTTCCATCCGTTCAGTGAGTAAAGTATTATTTTCAGGTTCCCGTGACACGTGATTATAATCATTGTGGTCCAGTTGAACAGATTCAGATGGTTCCAAATCTTCATCCATTGGCTCATCAGAAATTGTACGATGCTGATGTACATTATAACGGGATCCTAATTATATGAATGTAAAACATAGGAGTGATATAAACAGATACAAAGGTAAAATAAAATGTAATATGTGGATACCTGTATAGGTTGTTATACATCATAGATGAAAAATTGAGATTTTAAAAAAAGACAAAAAGTGGATACACTTGCTCCAGTGCGACTAGTTTTGAGTCATGTCACCCAGAGCTTATAATTGCAGATGGTAATTAATTTGTGGACCTCAACCTTTTTCTGACCCACTCTAGAGCAAGCAAGTCAGAATAGCTGGCGAGTAGATACGTATGGCACATGTCCCAATTATCTCAGTTGATCAAGATTTACAGCTTCACTAACCGACTGGATGTCACTACCTAGTACTCCACATTTAACCTTAGCATTATGCACCTGAGGATTTCAACTGGAGCTAGGAGTGTTTCTAAAATACTAACCAACCGTAAAGTAAAAAAATGAGCTGAAATTTATATGTTTTACGTACTAACTAATAATCAGATACATATCTTACTTGTGTCATAAGTTAGTAGAAGTTAAGTGGGCTTTTATTATCAGTCTCGTGATGTTATTAGCTAATTTACAATCAACTAGCACTTTATATATTTTACTCAAATACAAAATGTTAATTAGTTGACTTATCTGTCATTTAACCTGCACAAATTTACGCAACAATCTCAGTATAAACAATATCGACTTTATACACACTAGACAAACCTATATTTCGTAGTAATAATGTAAAATAATAATGAGAGCATGACTAATAACATTGTGTATTAAATGTTACATCAGTAGATGTATAATATGTAGGCAATACAAATGGTAAAGTTTTTAGATACAAAAAGACCAATAACCTTCACAGGAATGATACACAATGATAAAGAATGAAACATTACAATGTCAATGAGATAGTATTTACATTTATTAACAATGTATGTCTAGGATTCATTGGATCACATATATTTAACCATGAGAAATAGGAAGGACTTGTAGTGTAGATTTGCATCGAATAAAACCTTGACTAAAATTCAATTTCCGAGATGATAATTTCGTGAAGCATGCTATGGTTGTACTTTTCAACAGCAAATCCATATTTATTTAGATATGGATTTGTAAGTCTAAATGTCTTTACTCCTAGATTAATTTGAGTTATTGAGTAACATTTTATAAATGAAAGATGAGTACATAAGTCTGTACTTAATTAATGCTCCAACACAAAACTAAATTAACATAAACTTGTGACTACATCGTGAAATAAGATTGAAATCAGATGAACTACTCTGTAAGGCTTTATTTCTTTTATACATGCGATTACCTAACAAATGAACTTTAAATTATTCCCGAAATCATGCTTATAAGGAAAAAAACAAACCTTCATTGTGAGTGTGACTAATATCCACAGAATTATGTACCGGGAGAGAAGCTTGAAGCCGAGAAGAGCTATTTGTACGGTCATCATAGGCTGATATTGTTGTAGAGCGAGTGGGAACATGGCCAGTAGGCAAACGAGACGATGGGACAGGAACACGTGTTGATGGAGCAATCAAACGAGATTGATTACTAGATGAGTAGTCTATTTGAGTGGCGTTAACTTTGTTACTGGATGGAGCGAGAACAGCGGCAGAAGCCACCACGGGAACAGAATTTTGAGGCTGCCGTATATCACTAGGTAGATTGACTCCCGGACGGTGTGAGGAATTCGGAACTTCTTTAACTAAATTGTTTCGACTGACATCAACAGTCACACAAACATTATCAGTGATGGGCTAAAAATTTAATTTGCAGTTGATGTGGAAAAAATTACATTTTACTACCAATTCAAAATTCGTAAAGCTATAAATTTATGCTGAAATTGTAAATACCAATACATCTATACTGAAACTATTTGCTTAGCATAACTGCTAATTAATGTATGATCCTTCCCAATCCCACTATGATGCAACTAGTAATACGACTTCTAATGTAAAAAAAAGCAAGGTTACACGCTGCGCATTAGCTCGGCTATAGAATTGACCAGAACGAACCCAACAACATAAAACAGCTCACAACCGTATTTAAATTTTATCTTCAATAACACTAATCAAGCCCCTAGACAATTAAGAAAACGGGAGAAAGCAGGAGTAACTGCACGTGACATAGCAAAAAAGGTAGAATTTGTAATGTAAGGGTGCCCTTGAGAATCGACTCGCTATACCCTCCCAGAGACGAACCATAATCAAGATTGCTTCCTGTGGGTAAGATAAAATCAACTACTGACGAGTTACAATAACTTAAGTGAACTTATGGGTTTTATTACGAAAATAATAATCATAAAGTTGTACGTAGATGTTTATTTTTGGGGGGCTTACAAACATCATACAATCGTATTTCTTTCATCAAACTAGACACTATAAGAATTTGTGACCGAGAGAAAAATCTTTGAGCTAGTAGATCTTGTTTCACCGCCTGACACCTGATTTCGATAATATCGTTAAATAAAACTTCCCCCACAGTGATGCATACGTTATTGCCATTACATCCCATCCAGGGGTCGGTACCCACCAAAAATAAGAATTATCTACAGGTTGACATCCGGGAGTCGCTGAAAACGGACGAATTCGACTAATACAAGTACTACCAAAGTACCTGAAAATTTCGACCAAGCAAATACTATGTAATTGACTTTTAATGTTAAAATATGCAACCGGTGCAAAACCTTACACAAACATGACCTACACATGAATATCTTAAATTCGGGTTCAATTGAAGTATTGCTTCCAATTCTATCTGAACAAAGAAAGAGAAGAAAACCAAGAAATCGGATGACTGTAAAAATTATTAACATAATCAATTTTATTAACAATAAAATGAAGGACTGAGAAGATAATCACTAGTGTGGTTTTTTACTTTCATGCAGTGCGAATAACATATTTATATATGCTTAAACGGCTGAACAGGATTCCATTATTCTTTCCAATATGACTTTTTTTATGCCAAGTCTTCAGGTGATCTTATACACTAGAAAACTCAATTAGTTCGCTATCGGCGTTATCATTTTTAGAGCAATATCAACATTATCTTAATAACAATCGACAAGTGACGTTTAAATCCCCGTGTTTGCGGATCAGCATATATACAGGTGGTCATCGATTATTGTATCTAAATAGATTAGTAGACGGATAGCTAAACTCTTAGACTACTGCCCTCACTAGGAAACCTTTTGAACTTGCCTAGATCTGCATTACTTAATTTGAAGTCATTCTTAAATTAATTGATTATTAGGATGACGGTAAAACTTAGAACTATGTCAAAGTCCATAAATTTTAAAAGACTCGCTATCAATGGGCTTAGGATTTAAGCAGAGATCATAGACTTGCAAAATCGTCAGTGACATAAATGTAAATGCAGTCAGCATCAGTGGCTGGAGATTGGATGGAATGATTTAGAATCCGTTACAATGTCCCAGTCCCATTCACTCGTTATGTTCATCTCGCTTTAAATTCAAGTATTCTTTCATACATACATTCACACTATCTTTTCGAACTAGATTCTCACTGCTTATTCGTTTTCATTTTCGCTGCTACTAAATTATGTTGATCACTTGCTATTCACTTTGTTCCCTTCACTGGGTAATATGGTACAGCAACTTGGGCCAACACGTACGTGTACCAGGCTATGCTGACGTGTATGTTAACAATGACTCACTGACTGCCCAGTAATATTCGTCATTATGTACTTAAAAATACAGGAAATTGAGAACTTGCAAACAGCTATCTTCAATGAATCAACTCTAGTTATAATAAACGTTTGTAAAATCACTATCTATTTAAGAAGAAACAGATAACACAGTTAACTGCGATATAAAAATAGAACATCAAGTCAGTTAATGTTATACTAACCTCCTTTCCTTTGGCTTCTCCTTTTTCATACCATTCTACTGTCACACTTTTCGTGTTGGGATTAATACCACTAACAATAGCCGAATGTACACGACCTAGACACAAGAAAGTCATGAAAACAATACCTGTAAAAATCTTTACGCATGAGACGTGTTTAGACAAAAGAATATACACAATTTGTGAAAATTACGTACAATGAAGAAAAATAACAACACATAATAACTCATTAGTCAACTAATTTTTTAGATGATAAACTGAATTAAACCTCAAATTTAGCATCATTACAAATAGCCAACCAGGTTGACTACGACACACTCCATTATGCATTTCAACTTCAAAATTGTTTGAAGGAATAATACTTGGTCATCCATCAAGTTACTCCATAAAACCAGTATGATGCACATTACCTCCATTCACACATTGTTGGTTTACAACCTGAGTTGAAAGTAGGAGCGTTCGACATAATATGTACGTAGAAAACCATTGTCTCACCACTACTCACTGAAGTATTTCAGTTATGAATAAAGCCAGAACAATAAATGAAGCCGAGTAAGAAGTTATTTAACTTCGTGGTTTCTCTTCAGTTTTGAATTCACGTTTGTACAATATAATACTAAGTAATAAACACTTGTCCTAGCTTCGTTGAAATTCATAAAGATAACTAGATGTATCTTTGAGCTAAGTTAGAATTCGGTGAGATGTAGATTACCGAATGAACAAAAGCCTGCACAAAGAATAACTGGTGGCTCTTGAGAGTCAGTGATATTACAGATCAAAACCATTTTTTCTGCATATAAACGATATTGGGAACATGATGGGTATTAAGTACTCTGTGCTTGGTAAGAGGCAAAAACCGGTTGCGCAATCTGGGCATAATTTAAACCTTACACTCATAAGTTGGAAACAGTTTGCTCCACCAACATAGAGTGCCACTTTACAAACTTGGAGTTGGGAATTGTTTCCATGGAACTACAGAAAACACTCCAACGAGAATGTACAGATAACTAGGTGAGCGAGTTCATGATCTCGGAAATGCAGCACCTCCACTAATAACCCAAAAAAAATACTACCTAACATGTCACTAGGAAACTTATTTGAAATATTTCAACCGACTTAGAAGTAATATATATTTCGGAATTCATGAAGAATTACCTCGAAAACTCTATGATGGACATTCTATACTAATATTGTCCTAGATTTCTCAGAGGTAGATGTTCAAAAATCTTAGAAATTTACACATTATTTTACGAGTTCCGAAGATACTGAACATACAATCCTCTCGTTTCGATAGTTAAAACTATTTACTATATCCGATATGGACGAATTATTTATGACCACCACTCTTCACGATAGTTAGACTTGACATACTCACCATCTGTCCTCTGTATATCTACATTTATCCCAACAGCTAGAATGCCACCATCATAATCCGCCATATTTTATCGGTGCATAAGACCCAAAGGATTAGGAGAACCCCTCAAATCCATTTAAACTCGAGCTAAGTTACGCAAAGTCCAGATCAGTACAACAAGACACGATGCCATGGTGACTACTTAGTAAGTGCTAGAAATACACTTTATTGTTGATTATTTAAGAAATGCATTGAAGAAAGCCCAAAGTTATGGTCGTCGTTACTAGTTGTACAGAAGCGCGACTTTTGAAGCTAATGGTTGTAACGATGCATGCTTTTATTAGTGTTATGATCTAGTGACCTAGCTCGTTATTTTACCATATTTATCAATAAGAATCATGTGTCTTTATCGTCAGGCGTGATATTTCTTCAGCACTACGAATAATTTCTCTGTATGAAGCAGTCAAAGTCCTTGACTCATTGGTAATCTGTACATGCACTTTTAGGGGTCAAAAATCCTAACCGGTAATTGCTATCGTTTGTGTACATGAATTTCGGGGTACGTTTTATCCAGGTTATGATATTGAACATATTCAGCGTGCAAGTCTCTGTGGGAAGAAATGCGAAACTTATCATAGGATCGCAGACTCAAGTTTCAGTACATAAAGTCACTACCATGCCTCCAATATAGTGTGTGTTTACAAGAATTTAGCCAGTCATCAAGGTAACTTTAAGGCCTAAATACCACGAAAGTGCAATTCATGTCAGGTATAAACCACGAGGTGTGACTTTGGATGTCAACTCATAGGTCGCATCACTCTCGTCCAGCTTAAGTATACCTCAACCGTCCAAATAGATTACGTACGTTGGTAATTAACAGAGGTTACCTTCTGGTGAGCCCGACGTGATCTTGAGAATCTTGATAGACACGTTCGTGCTTACCGAAAAGGTTGTTGAAAACCTTACTATTGAAACTCATTATACTGATTTCTTTATCACATCCGATAGTCGCAGATTACACCTTAACTAAAGAAATACGAAAAAACAAGTTGACGCCAAGGTTAGGTATGTAAAAAGACCGATCAAACTTATGCAGTTTTATTTGGTATCGGTCCTCAAAAGCTTCTTGTAGACGTGAGAAATATGGTAGCGGTAAAGGTAATTATTCAATCAATAATGTGACGTGATCCTTCAATTTTCTAGACCCCTTCGAAGGTTTAATGCTATTCCACAGCCACAATAAGTTCATTCGTAATACCACACAAACAATATATATCATCTGAATAACACTCGTCTGAAAACTTTGTTAGCAGAAGGGGGATTGGATGATCTATCTCTCTTGGATTCTAATTCTTATGCTATCGGTACTGGAAGCATTGATGAAGTATATTATGTTGTAGCTATAAATAATTCCCCCAAATCAATAGCTCATTAAGTGTTCGACATTGGATGCTGACCACGTTGTTTAAGTGGACTTGTTTAACTGAAGGCTTTCGGTCATGCATCCGTACCAGATCACGTTTCAACTCGGCGTGGGACACTTCTCCTACGTTCACTAGTCAGTGTAGCTGTAAATAATTCCCCAAAATCAATAGCTCATTAAGTGTTCGACATTGGATGCTGACCACGTTGTTTAAGTGGACTTGTTTAGCTGAAGGCTTTCGGTCATGCATCCGCACCAGATCACGTTTCAATACTGCGTGGGACACAGCTCCTACGTTTCATTAGCCAGCTCATAGAAAAGGTCCTCGATATATTGGTAACGAATCAAATATATCTTTCCTGCCTCTTCTCGTTTGACTTCTGATTTTCTATCTGACTGGTAACAACCGAATTTAGAAGGTGCTACTGGTATCTAGTTGTAAAACTAGAATATCCGTTGCATCATCATTGGTGAACCCGACGTGATCTGGTACACCAAGTCAATATACTGTGAGTCTGTTCCATTTTGGAACATTATTATTCATTGTTATTCTTTATTTGAATTTTATATATTGTGATATACTTTTTTCGCGAATTTTTTTTTCTCGGATATATTTTACTTAGACATTTTTCGATATCTATATTACTATGACGGAACACTCTCCTAAGGTTCTTAAGTTCAAGTCTATTCCCCCTATTTCGATTCAGTTAACGCCATTTTGGCCCGACAATATCGAGTCCTGGTTCTGCTATGCAGAAGCCGATTTTTGCATGCACGGAATCACGGACTCGCGCACACGTTTCCTCGCGGTAGTTAAGGCGTTACCGCGCGAGTTTAACAGGTACGTAACACCTAGTATGTTTACTAGTGATGTTTCCGAACCTTACGAATCGCTTAAGCTATCGATTTTAAAACGAGGAGACCTAACTGATCGACAACGGTTAGACCAACTCCTTAACAATATCGACTTGCAACATGGTTCTGCGACGGACATGTTGCTTAGAATGAGAGAAGTCATCGGCCAACGAACTTTCGATGATGGCCTATTTAGACAACTTTTCTTGTCTAAACTCCCTCAACAGGTGCAGGCAGTGCTTGTTTCATTTCAAAACAATGCCATAGATGAACTAGCTGCATCTGCCGATCGAATCTTGGAAATCACTAGATCTTCTAAGGCCGAGGTTTTTTCCGTCAAAGAAAAACCCCAATCGACCTCGACTGACATGGCCGAACTATGTCACACGCTTACACGATATCTTAGAGTTCGCAATGACCGTAGTCGGTCAAAAACCCCGCGTAGAAGTGCCTCACGTAAGCGATCTGGCTCTCGACCACGAGAGACAGACAATCCCGACTGGTGCTGGTATCATAACCAGTACGGTAAGTTTTCCAGAAATTGCAGGAAACCTTGCAATTATCCGACTTCAAAATCGAGTGACACGAAAAACAGTTCGGGAAACTTCCCAGCCGGCACGCGTTAACGGCAACCGTAGCCGGCGAACACAGCCGCCTCTTATACGTCACGGATGTGACTACGAAAGTTCGCTACCTCGTCGACACTGGCGCAGAAGTTAGCGTTCTTCCAGCAAATCTCGACGACAGACTTCGCGAGTCTGTTTTAAGTTTACAGGCGGCAAACGGAAAACCGATCGCTACTTACGGTAAAAGGTACGTCTACCTTAACGTGGGTTTACGTAAACCCATACACTGGATTTTCGTGGTTGCAGATGTCTCTATGCCAATCATTGGTATTGACCTGTTACAACACCACAATCTACTCATCGACACACGCTCACGAAGGTTAGTAGACGGAAACACTAAGTTGTCCGTTTGCGTAACTCCTTGTTCTGGTTGCAGGTTATCCCCAGTCACGATTAAGCACGCCATAGACCCCTTGTACCAAGCAGTACTCGACAAATACCCCGGGATATACCAATCGCAATCGAAATTACCTTGTGTAACCAGCAATGTTACACATCACATCTCGACTACAGGACCACCTGTATTTTCGAAAGCCCGAAGACTCGCTCCCGAAAAGCTTAGGTTAGCTAAAAACGAATTCAACCACATGATGGACCTAGGAATAATTCGACCATCGAATAGTCCATGGGCATCCCCATTGCATATGGTCCCTAAAAAGGACAGCAATGATTGGCGGCCAACTGGTGATTATCGGCGTCTGAATGCTAAAACCATTCCCGATCGTTACCCGCTGCCTCATATTCACGATTTGACAGCTACCTTGAAAGGTACAACTGTCTTTTCGAAAATCGACTTGGTTAAAGCTTATAACCAAATCCCGATGGCAACTGACGACATTCCTAAAACCGCCATCATCACTCCCTTCGGTCTTTACGAATTTCTACGAATGCCTTTTGGTTTAAGAAACGCGGCTCAAACCTTCCAAAGGTTTATAGACGACGTCTTCCGAGGTCTCAACTTCGTACATGCGTATGTTGATGACTGTCTAATAGCAAGTCCGGACAGAGAATCGCATCTCAAGCATCTGGACATTGTTTTCGATCGACTTCAAAGGCATGGCATTACTGTCAACATTCAGAAATGCCAAATCGGAACTAACTGCTTAGATTTCTTAGGACACACCATTGATGCCCAAGGCATCCGACCCCTTAGGAGCAAAGTGGCGGCCATTCTGGATTACCCAGAACCGACCACGATCAAGCAGTTGCGAACTTTTAACGGACTCGTAAGTTTCTATAGACGGTTCATACCTAAATGCGCATCCCTAATGAAACCGTTGACCGATCAGCTTCGTGGAAATGCGAAATCAATTAGTTTAGACGACACAGCCCGTAAAGCATTTTCCACAGTTAAGGAACACATCGCTAAAGCAACCTTGCTTGCTCATCAGGACAGTCAAGCGCCCATTAGTATCGCCGTAGACGCATCCGACTCAGCAATCGGAGCAGTCTTACAACAATGGGTTAACAACTCGTGGCAACCTTTAGGATTTTTCTCGAGACGGTTGCTAGACGCTGAATCTAGGTACAGCACGTTCAGTAGGGAACTCCTAGCTATGTATTGTGCTGTACGGCATTTTCAACATTCCATCGAAGGAAGAGAATTCACGCTTTTTACCGATCACAAACCTCTTACCTTCTCTTTAAATTCATCTTCAGACAAGTACTCACCGCGAGAGTCTCGACAACTCGACTACATTTCGCAGTTTACTTCAGACATACAACATATTTCTGGAGCAAACAATGTAGTCGCAGACGCCTTGTCTCGAATTAGCTCCTTGAACAGTTTCCAAGGAATCGACCTTCTTAAACTCGCTCAGCTTCAAAAAGAAGACATTGATCTTCAGCATGAGTTATCCTCGACAACTCTTAAACTAAGTATTAGGCAGATGGGAACAGGTAAGGAAACCTTACTCTGTGACACATCTACAGGTAGGGATCGTCCAATTGTACCAAAACACTATCGCCGCAACGTCTTCAATACGTTGCACAATCTTTCTCATCCAGGTGCTCGTGCAACAATCGAACTTATAGCCGAACGCTTTTGTTGGCCTGGCATGAATAAAGACGTGAGGGATTGGTCACGCTCCTGTGTAAGCTGTCAGAAATCTAAGGTAATCAGACACAACAAATGCCCCTTAGGTTCTTTCAAAACCCCTGACGCTCGTTTCGACCACGTCCATCTAGATTTGGTAGGACCCTTACCCGACTCGAACGGATACTCATATCTCCTAACATGCGTAGACCGTTTTACTCGATGGCCAGAAGCAGTAC